CGCTAAAAACATTCGAAGAAGTCTTTGAGTGCTGTTGTTTCATATTTTACTAAAATAGTGTAAGGAAACAGATTTTTCAAACTTAACTCATCCAGGTAGTAAAATGGTGACCATTTGACACAAGAAATCATAGATGCATGATGTTTTCAACAATACAAGAGATTGATGTCTGTTCACAATCAATAGTATTACTATTTATTAAGGTTTGTTTGTTGATGTTAAGAACTGGAATTGCTTTGTTTTATTTTGTTGCTGTGCACATAAGCAGATTGCCTCAATATTGCCATTTAGTCAAAAGACTTGACAAACTTTTAGCTAACAGTGGTTAACATCGACAATCAAATGATATAAACATCTATAATTAACAAATTATACGCGTTACACAAACTAGTATATATCTAGACTCAATAGTTCAATAAAAAATACTTTGTAATTTTGAAGCGAAAATTGCTAGGGTCGAATCACAGTGTGAGTATCAAAGTTGGAATACAGGCTCAATTACGTGAAAAGTCGTAAACAGGACTATATGGATGCCTTGGATTCTACTGTTAGCCACTATTTAACTTTAACAATATTTTTTGTTTACCAAATTTTCAATATTTATTGAACAGATTATGTAATCACTTGATATTTCATCAGTTTCATCTTTATTTCGATTTCTTCTTACTCTCTTCTCTCTCCTTTCTTCTTTACATATATATATGTCTATTTAACAGATGACATTGATGATAAAGAACAAGGAAACATCCAATCATCAGCTTCTGTGCTTTCAGATATAAGTATATTAAATATAGCTAAAGCATTAACTGAAAATGATATGAGAGTATTTTTATTATTAAATATACCATTAACAACATGTATTAATAATTATGAAGAAATGCGTACGTTTAATCAACGTGAAGCAGCATTTAGTCAAAAAACATTAATGTATTGGAAAAAATTACGTGAAACAGTTAAAGATGATGTAAAAATAGCTGAATTAGAATATGCTTTAAGACAATCTGATCATAAAGAATTAGCTGATATATTGGTTGAAAGAAATCGTATGAATTTAGAAATTACACGAGATTTATTACAGAAATAAACTGTTCTAAGAAGGTTTTCCTTTAAATGCTGATATATATATAAATTACAACTATATCGGTGTTTCCTTCCATTTCATAACACACATTCCACCAACTTATATATATATATATATATTGATATAAAAGGTAATATATGTTGGTTTTGTTCTGTTTGAAGTTGATGATTTCATTGTGAAATATTGAAATAACTTGCATGTTATTTTGTATAATTGTAACCTGTTTGTACAAGGACTTTTGTATGTTTTTATAGTATATGAATAATACAAGTATTTCAAAATACGAATTTTCGATAAACTAACTTACATATTTTCCAGAGTTTAGATAGTTAGAGAGGTAATTGTCAGAAGGCCATTATTGTTTTTATTGTATTCTGTCTCTTTCCATCATAATGGGCTCCCTTATCATCATTATCATTTGTTTGTTTGTATTTTAACTTAAGTTAATATGAATAAACTATGTAAGTTAGTGAAATCATATTGATCAGTAGATGCAAGAAAAGTATCACTCAATTATCATTATTGCCTTGAAAACATGATTTTTCAGAAGTTAGAAGTTGGAAATATCGTACAGAATTTTGTTTCATGAGAATGATGAATTACAAACTAATTGTGACAGTGTCTTGAATTCAAATTACATATGGATTATAAGTTTACCTGCGAGATTGTAAATCAAATTGTATAAGCGAATTACAACTATTAGGAATTTTAGTCTTAGAGTTTTCAGTGAACTGCTTACCTATACGACTAATACCAAACATTTAGTGAATATTATATCGAGTCAATTAAACTAATGGTCGAGTTGTGATTAGATTGATAAAAATCGATCAGCTCTACTGGTTAAAAAACCCTAACATTACTTAATTAAAGTCTTTGCCCTCAAGAGTAAAGACAAGTGACAGGACACAACGAATTAAGGATTCCATTTGGTTCTCAAACTTCAGTAAGATTTATTTGAAAAACAGGAGGAATCAATGCTGTTCTAAAATTTTAAACAGTTGTCATTTAATATCACTTTGACACACATTACTGCTCACCTATGTGAATAAAATTGGCTTTTTGTAGGACAAAAATATATGTGCCAAACGGTCACTCAATGGTAACCAGTCATATCTACTGATCGGCACTAATCGAATTAAGCCCATAGTATTTGCACTGTAGCATATGAACAAAGTTACTGGGACTTAAGATGAATCTTATATACTGTTAGACGGCTGACATTATCCAGCAGGATGCTACAGACCTACGTTTCTCAGAAGTGGTCACTGGGTGAAACGGGTTGGAAGATCTACAGTACCTGTGTTTCTTTCGAAATTGGAAATATAACTGAAAGTCACGTACTTAATAATCCAGTTTGAGTTCATCCAAACAGTTAGTCACTTCATCTCACCATCATATTGTCAATATCATACACAGAATTCGATTACTAGACATCGACACCAACTGCAAATCAGTCCATTTCCAGTTGACTATCGAATTGGAACTGTTAATGTGTCTTATTATACTGCGTATATATTTATAGACTTTTCAGATTATTTAAAATCTTGAATTATGGATATGAAACGAATTTTAAGGAGTAATTTTATATGATAATTGGCTTTCAAACTAGTTACTATCTTTTGAGCTTTATGTATTGGTAAATTTGATCAGTTAGCGACTTCTGTTACTTTAAAAATACCCTCATATTTTCCTGTTAACAAACGATTTAACATTGTTAATTGTCAAATACAAGTAGTACATGCTTAAAATACTACTGATCACGAAGCAAGAAATCAATAAGTTATTATATGATGAAGTAATTTAGAACAAATTGTCCAGTAACATGCGTTGATGAGCAAATTAAAATTGCTTATTTGACTTGGAAATTGTCCTCTTTTATAAATATACGACATTCTATGATCTTCTTTTGATATCTGTTTTAAACTAAAAAGGAGTCTACTGAAAGCTCAAACGAATACGAACCTTTTCTATTTTGTGTTCTTATAAGTGAACTATTTTTTACTTGATATAAATAAAAACAAATTAGTACAATAATTACCTAACAAAATTTATATATTTTATACGAATATTCTTCAGTATTAAAACGAATGGTTTGACAAAAATTAGGCACCGAGTATAGAGAAGTCATTATATGTGCAAAATTATATTTGAAATAATCTCAGCGATTGAAATTTAAATCATTCAAACGTTTCGTCCAGTAAACTTATCTGAACTTCTTCAGGGTAGTAATCAAAATTGTAATCATTTAAGAAACATGTAGTGTTTAACAATCAAAGTAAAAATTTTGATTATTACCCCGAAGAAGTCTACATAAGTTTACTGAACGAAACGTTTGAGTGATTTAAATTTCAATCGCTGAGATTATTTCAAATATAATTGTCATATATAATAACAAAATATATAGTTGTAATTACACAAAGGTATATGACCTACAAAGAAATATGTATACATGATATCCAAACTTCAAAAAACATACTCATGAGAAATATAATCACGAAATGTCACATTTAGAAATCATTCTCAAATTCTTAACAGATGAATTTAGACCAAGTCTGTAGTCAAGAAATTACTTATCAAAATCATTAGGTAATCGTTACTCTGCATCATTAGTTAACTGAAATCAGATTCAATTGCATGATCTGCCATCTTCCACAGTAGACACTTTTGTGAAATATGCGGATGATCTCACCGTATGTATACCTATCTCTTCCTCTTTACATCCCATAGAAATGAATGAGTTTTTGTCTCGTATTGATTGTTGGTCTGTTGGTAATGGTCTCATACTTAATCCGTCTAAATGTCAAGCTGTTAACTTTAGCATGAGACATGAACGAAATATAAACACTGTTTTGAGATCCCATAATGCTTGTACCATCGGATACTCTTTGATAAACTCAGTGTCGAAAGTCAATTATCTTGGTGTTACCTTTTCCTGTGATCTTTCTTGGTCTTCTCACGTGTTACTGTTATCGTAGAAAGTTTTCCGTCTGACTTACTACATAAAGAAACTGCATGCATTTGGGATTACTAGTCACTTACTCTCACAATTTATCAATTTTTGCATATTACCTATTATTCTTTACTGTTCTCCATGATTCTTTACCGGGCTTTTGAGAAAAGACTTTGCTGTATTGCGGAGAGTGCTGAAGGCAGTTAGCAAGGTGTGTGGTGAATCTTTCGAAGTCATAATTAATATGGTTGCGGATAGACATCTAAAGTCATGCAAACTCCTGGCAGGCGTTATCTTATCAGATACTAACCATCCCCTTCACTCATAACTTTCTCATTGTATATCTTTTGGTAGAATGAGAAGTAATTACATTAAAATCCATGCACGCAAGTAAAAGTATAAAAGTTCTATAATACTTTAACAATCAAATATACTCTGTGATGAACAGGTTGTTAGAGTTAACCTAGTCAATAACCTGCATTCTTAACATGTCTCTAATTTGAAAAGTTGTACAGTTTTTCGGTTTTTTTTTGAAACCTTTTTTTCCTTTCTTTATCTTTGTTACTGTTTTTTTTGCGTAAGTAACTTGTTGAAATAACCTGTGCTGAGAATTCTATATTGTACCAAAATATAATATTGAATAAAGCCATCAATAATAATAATTGCTGACCAAACTAAAGCGGAAAGATTAATTCACAAAAAATTCATTTGTCTTGATTATTGAAAATTTCTAGAGCAACACAAAACTTATTCATTTCTAGTATTCAATAATTCTTGAAATGAAATAAGTCTTTGAGGAATTTAATCTTCAAGATATCAAAGATGATTTACATATTTATATAGTTTTGTTTCTCTTAAATACGAACACAAATTATCATAAATTAGAATTATAACACTGTTTATATTTCATTCAAGTATTTGCTTACTTCTTAATAAATTTATCATAAACTATTTAACTTAAATTATTGATTGTTGCCAGGACAAACACAAAATTTGGTTGCATTAAAACACACATATTTGATTGATCTATCCAGTTTTTCTTTTAGAGATTATTCATTACACAAGAAGATATAAGGTAAAGTGGTCATGAATAAACGAGAATATTACATATACATGATCAGTTTAGGGTATATATATATATATCTGACTATATATGCATATAAATTCTAAACGTCTACATTATATACAACTTTGCTTTCTTTTGAATGAAAAACATAAGTCAATAGATAGATGCGTACAAGAGAGGTGAAAGTGATGAAGAACATTTAAACAAACCGAAAATATTTAGTCTCATTATAAAAAGATATATGCTTGTTTTAAAAATCTTTGTTCTTCGAAAATATACATAGTTATATATCCATTTCATATTATCTAATAGTAATCGTATATAAACCTAAATAAATATCAGTTTAATATGAGATCATAAAGTTGTGGTTTTTCAAAAAAACAAAATAATCAATATATAACACCGTAGAATATTGAAGATAATAAATAATCCATTGGAAATTTTCTTTATTCATTAACAATTATAATCTGTTATTTCAATAATCAGAAGAACAACAAATTGTCATATATAGATAGTAATAGTAATAATAATTGAAATTAAATACATACGGCAAAATAATGGAATGTAAAGAAGATAAACTATACTAAAGATAATGATGATAATGATGTTGATGATCACGATGATGACACAATTGAAGGTCTTCTTATAGTCATATTAAAATTCAACATAACCATATGACTTATGATATTTACTATTGTTTTATTCAAGAAGCTGATATATATATATATATATATATATATATATTATGCATGTATAGAATGTTGTATGCTTATCTTAGAAAGAAACAATAGTTGGATTCAATTCGACAGATATAAACTCATTAATAATCTAGTCAAGTATATATATATATCGCGGGTGTATTTCAATGTCATATATTTATTCTTTGAGACTGAAGTTGATCTGTGAATAAAAAAAAACATAAAAAAGCACACATTATAGGAATGCACAAGAAGAATGAGAATCAAAATGAACATGCCTATATTGACAACATCATTTAATATATAATGAAAATATAAATCTGATTTATTTTGAATGGTTATAATAAATATATTTTATGTTGTAATCTAATTAGTAGAAAAGTTATATTTTTGACGTTTTGTGACTTAATTTAAGCTACTTCTTCAGAGTAAATAACTAAACAAAATTAAATTAACGCAAGTTTAAACAATACAAAAGAAATAGTGCAAAATATTTCTGGTACAATCAAAATCATAATAGATCTGAATATGTCAATGCCAAGTCATTCTTAGTCAAGTTGGTCAAACATATTCAAGCTCATTATGAATGACTTGACATTGATATATTCAAATCTATTATGATTTTGATTGTACTAGAAATATTTTGCACTGTTTCTTTTGTATTGTTTAAACTTGCGTTAATTTAATTTTGTTTAGTTATTTACTCTGAAGAAGTAGCTTAAATGAAGTCACAAAACGTCAAAAATATAAGTTTTCTACTCATTGGGATATAACAAAAATATATTTATTATTTAGAGTATGTGTCTTATAGGACTGCTATTTCAATAGATAAAGATAAACAATATGCGTCATAGGCTTCATTAGTAATCAATATTTCTAACCTTAGTAAATTTCTGGCAGAGCCAAACACTAAGGACTCAAAGATATCAGTGATAACTCACTCACCTTAAGAGTTTTGTATGTGAAAATTTACATATTGAACTCGTCATTCGTGAAACATTAAAGTGTAAAACATTCTAGTAGTGACTGAATTCTATCCATTTTTTTCTTTTATAGTTATTAGATAATTGAATCATTATAATTCTACATTCCCTTTATTATGGGCTTTCAGTGAACCTGTCAACTGTTGATATACTTTTTAATATCCCTTTACTTTTAAATAATTGAGTACCTACTGCTTCGTTCTCTGTCATATTTGACTTCATTATATTTAAAGTAAGATATGTTACTTGGAATGCGATGTGATCAGATGCTTAATGTACATAAACTAATAAGTGTTGAGCTATATATATATAGACTAGGTGTCTTAAAAATACGTATATGAAAGCTTGAATGATGTGTTTCCTCTTATCAGATTAGAGACTAAGACAAAAGATAAAGGTTTACGTTTTAGACCAATATTAATTGAGATTATCTTTGGATTTAATTGTATTAGTCAGAATGTGTAATTGATCAAAATATAAGAAGTTAGCCTATTTCGAAAAATAACAATTCTTATTGATGAATCTTAACAAGCGATAGTGATGAACGTTCTCGTTCTCAACGTACTAATCACTGCTCTTTTTTCCAATGATAATTATATAAATTTGATCATTCCCATATACATGCTTTATTAACCATATATCCAGGAATTGTAAAAAGAAGGATGAAATTCATCATTTTGAGTAATGTCAATCTATAATCAATAGTCGAATGAACTTAAGATTTCATTCAGTCTGAGTTGACTACGATTGACATGATTATCAATCGATTTTATCATTTCTTTGACATTTATTTTACACTAGGCTCATTGACATCAAAAAACCTTTGAAAGGCATATACATCTGATGATAACCTCTTTAACAAATATATTCTAAAATATAATTAAAGGACAAATTTTATGACAATCATAATTTGTCTTAGGTCTCAATTGTTTAACTAACTTCTTTCTTTCTCTCTTTCTTTCTATATATAAATGTTTTAAGAAGTTAGTTAGTTTACTCAAAATGTATTGTAGCAATTTATATTACATAATCCAAATAAACTTTATCTCTTTTTTTATTGTATTTTATTCATTTATTACACTGACGACAATGATGGATGTGTCACTCATTTTCGTGGATTAGTTGAAGTTAGACATTAACACCGTTGGATGCCGGCCAGCTCAGTGGTCTAGTTGGTTAAGCGCCTGGCGCGAGATTGATAGGTCCAGGGTTCGAATCCCACGAGACGGGGTTATGGATGCACACTACTGAGGAGTCCCACAGTAGGACGAAACGGCCGTCAAGTGATTTTAGGTTTTCCATGGTGGTCTAACTTCAACTGACTCATGATCTCAACTGTTGAAATTATTACAGTATAATTGATATAAACGAGTATGATGAATATTGTTGGTTTACAAATTTATTGATTATGTTTATATCTCATAGTTTGTGTAACAAGTTTAACTTTGTTTATATTTGTAGTTATAGAGACCATAATAATGATATTAATAGGTAGTGACAGAAATATAAAGACTAGCCAAATTAAATGTTAAACATCAGAACTGATTAAATTTAATAAGAGTGTTGAATGAACTAAGACACATAGACAGAATTTTATTGTTTATGCGTTAAAATGATTGAGCAGAAGAATAAATAAATAAATAAACACAATTCTATTTTCAATTTTTGGTCTAGTTAATTTATACAAGTGAACAATTTTCAAACTAAGTTGATTAAATGAGACTTAAACTAGTGAACAGGATATTCGCTAGACTGAATATATATAAACCTTAGTTCTATTGATGCTCATAGTTGATAAAATAAATGACTATTTCAACCTTTTGTACAGTGATTAGCAGTAGGGACAAAACTGAGAGATTCATCTTATTTGGGACTGTCCAATTAGATGTATCTTTATTTCAGGTTTGATGTTAACTCAATTATTCAAATTTAGTGTTAATGACTTTAAATGTTTAGCTAGGGTGCTTGTTAGATAAGTTGTGTTTTTATTATTATTTTGTACGTGATAGATAATGTTCAGCTTGAGCACCCTTGCTTTGGTTTGGGCACCCGAGCAGTATCACAGCCCTCACATAATTCAAATGAGATTTGTGTGGCCCATATGTATTTGGTGCCCCCTTGTACCAGTATTTATGTGTTCAAATAATAATAATAATGTGTGTTCTTGAACTGAAGCGAAATCTATTCAGCTACTATATGGATGAAAAGTGTACACATTTATTTGGTTACATATTCTCAATAGAATTTCACATAATGTACAATTTCTCAAATTTTTATTAGAAACCTGATATAAATAGAAAATGAAATTTTTTTCCATTTGCCACCATATACTTCAATTATATTATAATGAAACTGGTGACAGAGATCATGTCACACCTAGCCTGGATACTCTTTGATCACTATGCCATGGACAGACTAGATCAGTGTATGGGTTAAACAATACTTTATTGAGCAAAATTACGAACAGTCCACACTAGGCGAGTTCAAAGCAGTGTCTGTCCGTTCACGCCCAGTGAACAATTAAATTTACTTTCACTGACCGCACTTATGAACCTATGATCAATAAGATCTAAATTTAGATATGAGATATGATGAGAACAGCGATATATCAAAGATCGAATGAAGTTGATAATATAATTTATGCCATTTAGACTAAACTATTATAAAGTATCAAACTTTCTATCAAATAACGAAACCTTGTTTCCAGTTCTCTCTATTATCACAAGCGTTTACCATTAGGGTATGTGGAATACCTATTCAACGATTGATAATTCTCATTGGTTTTCAAGATAATGTAAAAAATTACTTTATAATAGAAATTAACCTGAAATACAATTAATTCGTATGCAAGTGAATAATTTCTAATTAACTAAGAAGTTTAAAAATTTCTGTTTAGTATTGGTGATCTAATTACCACATACTGAGAAAAAGATGATCAATTCATAAATGTACTTGAATTCATTTCCATTATAACAAGTCACCTAGTTAAATAAAATATCACAAGATTAAATATGAAAATGATCATTTTTGTTAAGAAATAAGAAACAATAAGCAAAGTATTTATTTTATATGCAAAGATGGGTAGTGGCTAGCAGTGGAATCCAGTACGCACGTTTTGTCCAATATGGGACTCGTCAGCTAGATGTACCTTCATTCCAGAGTTGATATTCACTCCGCGACTTGTACTCAGCACTGTTCACTTCAAACTCCATCGCGTTATCCACTTAGCTACTGAGTCCTGCTAGCCACTTGCTTAATCAATGGGGTGAAGTTTATATCGAGGCAATACGCACAGCATGCAAATATGCTAATAACAAACTGATCGATTGCAGTCCTAAACATCAATCCTTCAAAATTATTTACGTCCTTGAAATAAAAAACAACATTTATTAACCATTTGATTTTTAAAATGTGAACCTCATATATGAATGTTTACATAATTAGTTTATCAGTTTTCTGGAAATGAATAATTATGCATTTCAATAACTAAGGTAATTGAGAAATATACTAGATATTCTCCCCCCCCCATTAGATTATGCTAATCTCGATATGTCTTGTTGATTAGCATATTAGTAAAGTAACTAATAACAGCTAAATTAGATCATTTTATTAATTAATGAAGTTTATGACTGTTGAATTAAGTTATGTAGTTAGGTGAAGACTTCCGTGTTTCAGCTCATGAGATAATAGTTGGTAGGGATCTTTAGTAAAATAAGACAAAATTGACTTCAGCTTTATTTATCGTTAAATTTTGAACTTTCATATTATTTGATTTGTTCTTTTCAAACAGTAATTAGTCCTTATTGTAAATTTTGAAAGTGTGATAAGAAGACGAAGTTGATCCGAAAAGTATGATGCGTTTACACCTCTTACTTAGAGCGATCTGGTCACACATATATTTGTCAAGGCGTTTATTGAAACTAATTTACTAACTCATATGTTTGCATGGAGGCACATACATAGGGAAGAATTATCGGACAATTCAAACAAAGTTTACGAAACATTTGTCTAGATAGCTTCAAAACCAGTTAGTGTCAAATACTAAGATAAATGTAGGGAGTGGAGGACCATGTTTATTGATTACAAACACATATTTGAAATGAGCCATATAAGTGACATTACCATACCTTTCAAAATATTGTATAGGAATTTTCAAGGACGAATTCCCATGTTTATATGAGCCTTGGTTATTGGTAAATTCAAACACCGTTTATGTACTTACTTACTTACTTACTTACACCTGTTACTCCTCGTGAAGGAGCATAGGCCGCTCACCAGCATTCTCCATCCAACCCTGTCCTGGGCAATCCTTTCCAGCTCCTTCCAGTTGTAATTCATCCTTTTCATATCTGCTTCTATTATCCGACGTAATGTGTTCTTTGGCCTTCCTCTTTTCCGCTTCCCTTCAGGATTCCAAGTTAGAGCTTGCCTCGTGATGCAGTTTGACGATTTGCGTAATGTATGTCCTATCCATTTCCATCGTCTTTTCATAATTTCCTCTTCAGCTGGAAGTTGGTTTGTTCTCTCCCACAGAAGGCTATTGCTGATGGTATCCGGCCAATGGATGTTGAGTATCTTGCGTAGACAGCTATTTATAAATACTTGTACTTTCTTGATTGTGGTTGTTGTAGTTCTCCAAGTTTCAGCTCCATACAGTAGAATTGCCTTGACGTTCGTATTGAAGATTCTTACTTTAATATTGGTTGAAAGTTGTTTTGAGTTCCATATGTTCTTCAATTGTAGGAATGCGGCCCTTGCTTTGCCAATCCTCGCCTTTACGTCTGCATCTGAACCTCCTTGTCTATCGACGATGCTTCCCAGATATGTGAAGGATTCTACATCTTCCAGAGTTTCGCCATCAAGGGTGATTGGATTACTGTTCTCCGCTTTGAATTTGAGGCCCTTGGTTTTCCCTTTGTGTATACTGAGGCCTACTGATGCAGAGACTGCTGCTACATTGGCTGTCTTTATCTGAATCTGTTCACGTGTACGTGATAGGAGGGCTAGGTCATCTGCGAAGTCCAGATCGTCTAATTGGTTCTGAGCTGTCCATGGTATTCCGTGTTTTCCTTCAGATGTCGAGGTCTTCATAATCCAGTCGACCACCAGAAGAAAGAGGAAGGGAGAGAGTAAACAGCCTTGTCTGACTCCGGTACTTACTCGGAATGCATTTGTCAGCTGTCCTCCATGGACTACTTTGCACTGTAGTCCGTCGTATGAGTTCCGGATAATATTGACAATCTTCTCAGGAACTCCGTAGTGTCGAAGAAGTTTCCATAATGTTCTCCTGTCTACACTGTCAAATGCCTTTTCCTAATCAATAAAGTTGATGTATAGTGATGAGTTCCACTCAACTGATTGTTCGACGATGATCCGTAGTGTTGCAATTTGGTCTGTGCACGACCGATCCTTTCGGAATTCAGCTTGTTGATCTCGAAGTTGGGCATCTACTGCATCCTTCATCCGGTTCAGCAACACTCTGTTGAAGACTTTCCCTGGTATTGACAGTAGTGTAATGCCTCTGTAGTTTTCACATTTGCTCAGATCTCCTTTCTTTGGAATCTTGACGAGGTGTCCTTCTTTCCAGTTCATTGGCACTTGTTCCTCCGCCCAAATCTTTTTGAATAGAAGGTAAAGCATGCTGGTGGTTACTTCGACGTCTGATTTCAGTGCTTCTGCTGGTATGTTGTCAGGTCCTGCTGCTTTCCCGTTCTTGATTTGTCTGATGGACATTCTAATTTCTTCCGTCGTTGGTGGGTTGACATCTATAGGAAGATCTGTGTGTGCTGCTTCGATGTTCGATGGATTCATTGGAGCCGGCCTATTCAGGAGTTCCTCGAAGTATTCTACCCATCTGTTTCGCTGTTGTTGAATTTCAGTGATTGGCTTGCCTTCTTTGTCTTTGACCGGCCTCTCTGGTTTACTGTATTTCCCTGATAGTTTCTTCGTTGTATCGTAAAGCTGTGTACAAGAATATTTCGTAGTAACCTTTAATCTACCATGATAATTTCTTTAAGGCTTATGATGATGGGGTAATCTCTTTATTATTTATTAAGCTTTTAGTTAACAGACTTTCATTGGTTTTTACACAAAACTACCTTGACAGTTATATATTTGACCAGGTCGTTCAAAATAAATAGCTCAAAAACACATTATTCTCAGGTCAACTCTTTCTCCCCACCATAATAATATATTCCTTAGTTAATGTTCAACTATGTACATGAGAAAAATGAACAAAAATTGGACAGAACTGGAAAGGAAGGCCAAGGATAGAGTGGGCTGAAAAATGCTGGTCGGTGGCCTATGCTCCCTTGGGAGTACCAGGTGTAAGTAAGAAAGTAAGTAAGTAAAGTAATGTTTATCATTATCGTTTTAATACCATTTTCTTTTTCATAAATTAAATTTTCCGTCTGCTTGAATTGTTCAGATTGCATATAGAAGTGAACTAAGTTAAAATAATTATTTTCTAAGAAAAATAATCATTCCTTTTTTTCATTATATAGTCAGTATCACTGAAAATATTCAGTTGACCGAGTTTCAAAAAATTCCAATAAGCTGAACACTGCATTCTCACGATAAATTAGATAACTAAAGACAGGTATTGTACTCAGTGAATGGAGGTTTCTGTGATTAGTACTACCAAATTAAAAAACGAAAGTTCACCTTTTGTTGCGAGCTACTTCTAAGCATATAATGTGTAATATAGTATTACATTGGTTTGCCCAATTTATATCTTTAGTATTTTAACTAACTGCCTATGTTTTTGTATAATTTTAAAACTAAAAAAAGACATATCCCATGAAATGACCAATCCATATCTGTAGTTACATCATTTTTTGAATTTTTACCGACTCAATAGAATCACCATTTTTGCTGACATTAGTCACATGAAGCAAATCTTTAGTCGTATGGAAGGTCAGTTGTAACTTGTATAGTTCAATAGTATTTTCTCTGTTTAAAACTAGGTAACGTGGGTTTTAATTCCACAGGAAGCATCAGTTCCTACTGGATTTCATGTAACCACATTGAAGAACACTAATAAGCGTAAAAACTAAGTTCACGATAACTCCTCGATAGTTTGAAATCATCTAACATAAACAGATGCTTATAATCTTTCAAAAATCTGTTCAGTAATTTGTTTAAAACAACCTTTAGTCTAAGATACTTAGCATATTAGTTGATTGCATTTTGTGTTAGATATTTTATTATGATCAGCAGACAAAATCGAATAAATAATATTCCCATTTAGTTATTAAAGCTTACTAGGAAACAGTAGATTTAATGGCAATTCTATTTATACCTTCTACGGAACATAATTTCAAATTTCACGGTTAGGTAGAGTACACAACAACTAATCATGAAAAGAGATTTTTTAAAAAAAATAGTCGTCAACTGGTAAGCGCACAATGTTATTAAATAAATAAGTTATGCTTAGGATACAGCTAAACGTTGATACTATTCCTCCATATAAAAAAAAAGAATCCTTAATTCTGAGTTTAAACTATTCGTTCGAAAAAGTCAACAAATTTAGTTAATGATATCATCGATCAATCACTTTCTAAACAGAATAAATGTAACTTACCTTTCGGTGATTTATTCACTGTACTTCTTCTAGAACTACTATCCTTAGAGCTCTGAACAAAAAGATTGAAATTACACAATTCACTATTGATTGATAATGTAGTAACATAGTTTTAAAAAATAATTTAAGCACATGAACTCAAAATATTCGTCTAAAAATCCTGGTGTCATAAAATGTCTTTGAAAGTAGTATATTTTTATGAGTTAAATAACTGAAATATGATTGTTAATGCCTGTGAACAGTATCTGAGGTTACAACTGAGTTGTAGTTGATAGTAATCAATAAGGGAAGTTGGAAATATATTTTTAAATCTGAGGTATGATTAACCAAAAGTTTATCAGTCTAAGTCTTTTTACTAATTTACAGACGAATAAGGAACCTTACACTAGATTTCAGAATTTTACATGCGTGTTTTACTGTGAAATAATGAACGCGACTATAGTTTTTATGACATCATTTATATGAATAGTAGGAATTGATATCAACTGAAGAATTATTACAATCTATGAGGCATCGGATATATGTTAACATTTGTTCACTGTTCTTTAGTAGCGTGCATATAATAAATACATGGTCCAATTTGAAAACACTTCCTTCCCATTTACATAACTTAATTTCAGCTGATTTAGCAAATACTTTGATCGTGCAATGACTTATCTGTAGGCTGTCGTGCAATGGGCAAGTATACTAAACAACAGATCAGTAAATTTTGCCTGGTGGCTGTGTAACATGACCTTAAATGATGGAGGATATTCGTAGGTTGTTAGTATTTAATCATAGGTGTCTTTGAAACATTTCACATTTATCTTAGGACTACCGTATGATAAACACTGAAATTAGATTCAGAGTATTGGTTCAAGATAAAAAATAATTTGTCGATACCGTGAATCGTCTTCGATAGAGATGTTTAGAACATGTAATATATTTTCCAATCACTACTAGTAGGTTGGTAGAAAGTTGTAGTCGGAAAAACGAAATGTAACTCTAGACCATGAATGCTTTGACGGTCGGCTTCAGCCATGTTAGCAGGTACAGGGATTAAGTGATATGGTTCAGAATCAATTATAGTGGAGCAAATGTATTCGCTTATTATCTTCCATATGATCCTGAGTTTCAAAATTAACTTGTGAATCTATTTCAGCGTATTTATTCCTTATTTTTAAATAATATTTAGGTCCAGTTGTTTCTTCTGCCACCAGAAATCTTAGTACTTTTACAACTCATAGATTTATTTTAATGATGTCATTTCACTGTGATGTGGTGTGGTAAATTGAACAGATGTATATATATCCCACGTTCTACGCTGATTGTAACTGAATAAGTGAGGACCTGAAATACTGTATGAAAACAATGTTTAAAAGGTAAAACTACTTCGATAACAATGATAATAAAGCAACAGAATTACCTTAGCTTGTCTTGAACTATCAGATGAAGTTTTCGATGAAGATACTGACTTTTTAGGAACTGGTATAACAACTGGCATTAACCCATGAAGACTAAACCAATGAGGTTTACCATCAAGGTATTCCTTATCTGAAATAGTTATATGTTCATTTGAAATAATAAAAATGTATCATTAGTATGACAAGAATTTAAGAAAATTATTGATATACAAAAGATCGTTTTTCAAGAGAATAAGTTAACTTCTATGTAAATGAATGAATTAGTTTTGTAATTATAAATGTAGAATACTCGTGGCCAAATTTGTAGTGTGAGAACCACTGAGTTTCAAGTCAGTGCTTTTAAGAATAAAGAATAATTGATTTATTCTTGTCCAAAGCGCTTAAGAATTTTAAAGTTTACCATAACTGGTCTATCTAATTCTTTGCCATACTTAAACAGTTGTAAATACTTTCCAACTACAAGTGCTTTACCAAAAGTATTGAATAGGTCTACTTATTATAATATTTTTATTTGGAAGCAAGAAAAAGCTAGCTACAGATAAGAAATGCATTCAGAAATTTGCATGATATCGAAACAAAAATAAATAGTTGGTGGATACGGAAGATCTACCTAGGGGAGTTGGAAAACTCTGATTCCAAACCAATGGTGAACATGGGCTCTAGTATCCAAAAGAAACAAATGGCATATGAACCTACTGTTGATCACCGGCTACCATGGGACTTCATCTCTTTACGTTGCTCCACTGTCTTGTGGATTTGGCCTTTAGGTCAAAGGCTCGGGGTATGTTCCCCTAACAAAACCACCTGCTTTAGTTTAATCACCCAGGCAGTATTCCAACCCTCAAATAAATCATTTGATTTGTGTGGTGAATATCTATTTGGTGCATCCTTATACCAATGTTTATGTGTTTAAATAAATAAATTCATTTCAGGGTAGTGTACATTTAAAATTTGTTTTTAGACCAATTCTTTCATACTTGTAATCACTATACTTGCATTTTTTCCATAATATTCACCTTGGAATATATAAAATATCGACCATTTCGTAATCAATTTTTATCATGACAATTAAATTTAGGTTGAATTCATTGTTTAATTAATAATTACCCGCAACTGTTAATTACTATATCATCAGTTATCTTAACAACCATCTCGTTCCGTAAATTAATGGAGGAACGTTTACTGTTTCCATCAAATTGTAAGTTATTCATTAGTCAGGGAGGGGTTTTGTAGATGTTATAGTAATATAGTGGATTGGTTAAAATTATACATTAACACCGTCGGATGCCTACTCAGTGGTCTAGGGGTTGCGCGTTCGCTCGTAAGACCGATAGGTTCTGGGTTCGAGTCTCGCGGGGTAGGATTGTGGATGCGCACTGATGAGGAGTCCCACAATAGGCTGTCCAGTGTTTTCAGGTTTTCCATGGTGGTCTAGCTTTAATTGACTCATGAATTAATATTTAAATCCAATATTTATCCAATATCACTAACTTTTGTTAAGCACTCGTTTAAGAAGAATTCAGTAATCGAATAGATCATTTAATTCATTCTATTAATAGATTGTTACTTCAAATAATGTAAACAGAAGTCAGTAGTTTTACGAATTCATTTAAGAAATCATTTAGTTATTAAAAATTAGTCTTGTGATTTCGGAAAATTTAATATTAGTTTACCATGAAGTGGAAAGAAACTTGTTTTAACATTAACTTGGTGCATAAGTTAGTCTCTGAACACTGTAATACTTTTTAACGTGAACAGGTAATGCTTTACGTCTCAGAATACTATAATTAATCCTAGTGTTTACAACCTTTTTCAATGAAGTCCTACTCTCGTATCAATGTTATTTCTATAAAAATGAGAGAGATAAATTGAATTAGCTGACAAGAAAAATTCACCTAGGAAAGTTGAAAAGAATGAATAATATGGAAACCGACTTTCGCAACAGATTTTATATGAATACATTCCTTGAAATTATTACACAACAGTGTAGATTAAATTTATGGTGAGTGAATGAGAATATGACTCCCTATTAAAGCCATTTTCTTTTATTTGGATATAACCCTTAGACGATTTATGACAATCATAATAAAGAAAATGAAAATTTATGTACCATATTTCTTACTACCTTATTACTGATATGTCTTGTTATTTGAATGCTACTTGATATATCTGATCGTCGCTGATTGTTGTGTTGGAAACAGTTATCACTTATATTTGAAACGAGGAACCTCTGTGATTCCCACAACGCGACAAGGGTTGTCGTCGTCGTGTTTTGGAGTTAATAAATCTTCACTTATATCAGTCTTTTGTATTTTCACTTTCGTGTCATGGGGAGTTGAGGAGGTCCCTCCTTTCAAGTATAAGTGATAAAAGTTTCCGACATAACAATCAGCGATGACTAGATATAACATGTAGCATTAAACGACAAAAACATATCAATCATACCAAATATTCTTTCATGTTACAGATAATAATAATAATAATATATAAACACTTTAATGATATTAGAATTATAACATGTTTAATTTGATCTAATAAAATTAAAATGCTTACCACCAAGGTTAATAATTGTTTGTCCCATAAAATCATTTGTTTTTAATCGATCAAAATCCCATACAGTTACTTCAAGTACACGTCGTTTCAATGTACGTTTTATACAATTCATAAATACAACAGTCTGTTGCCATTCAGGTGTTAATGTATTAGGCATATATTTTGTTTGACGATTAAAATCAGGGCTAATATAATTATATTTAAAATAATAATTGTATAAAATAAAAATGTTAACATGACATAACTTTGGTTTTATTTGAAAAAGAAAATATCTATCAAGACTTAGATTTTCAAATCATTTTTACAATGACGTGATTTATAAACGTCGGCGAGACTCTAATTTATGAACGAACCAATCAGAGGCATTTTAAAGATTTCAAGGTTACGGCGTCAACTTCAATGCTTAATGCTAACGTACGATCGCTTCACAAGGATTTTTGTACAAAACGTGATGATTGAGCAGCTATAACAAATAAAACGGCGGGACTATAAATTGTGGACGAATCAATCAGGTATGAGATAATAGATCTCGGATTTTAATGCGAGAGCCTTTCATCCATTTGGCTAGATAAGTTTCTGGCATTATAGCTGATGTCAGTTCATGATGAAAACCCCATATATAATTCCTAACTATGGCAAATTACGACAATTATTGCGAACTGGATAATAAAAGCACCAGTAACACTGGCTGCAGCCAGGTACTACAATATATACGGATGTTTGGAGAGCGTACAGACTCCTAAATAGGCTTGGTTATGTGCATCGTGTCGTTATCCACAAGTAGCATTTTGTGCACTCAAAAACCAGGGTGCACATAAACAATATTGAAACTATGTGGTCGAGGCTGAAAGAGTTTTTCAGACTTTATCATGACTCCAGAGGCCGACGATTCTGTGGACATATGGATGATTTCCTCTACTGCATGCATTACGATTTTAGAACCTCTGCACCTCTTTCTAACCTTGACAAGTTTTTGAACCCACGTATAAGAAGTGTATCCACTTTATTTCTTTGGTTTTGTATAACATATTTTTACCTTATACTGACTGTTTGCTGATGGGCTAATATTTCTCAATGTTACTTAAGATTCTTTCGAAGGTCGTCCATAAATTAGAGTCTCGCCTGAACGTCCATTCAACTTGAGCTGTATTTTCATCATGAATTTATGTCTTCCATAGAATTTAGTTGAATCCAAAAATCATCTAAATATCCATTTCGTTCTAATTTCATACTTCACAGTAATCTCTAGTTACAATTTTTGTTTATTCAGTGAGTGTATAATACTACTGAGTAGTAAAGTTAGAATTCAATAATTTATGCTTCTGATTCCACGTAGCTTTAGACTAAGCTCAGCTCTCATTCCATGTTATCCATTAACAGCTGCTTCACTTCTGAATGATAATATAACTTCAGGAGATCTGTTTCGAACCATTCTATCAATGAGAATAAGATTCTTTTAAAAATGACTGAATACTACTGCCTTGGACACCATATGGAATACAAGCGAATTTGTCTGGTTTACGAAAGTCGATCAAATCAGGAGATGTTCTTTGTCTTACATCACCTTTATTTCTTAAATTTGTATCATGAGAATTTTACAAGCGTCTGGTCGGAAGTCGGCGAAAGTCAACATGAGTAAAGAGTGTAAATTATTAGTCTTTTTGCGTCTATTCAATGTTTGTCCTAAATACTAAGATAAATGTAAATATTTGCCAAAATGGGCTCCAAGCAAATTACAAAAATAATATCCATTCAGTGTAATCAAGCTTGTAAGGAAGATTCAGTGTTAACATTCTATATTTATTTACGAACAGATCAGTTTGCATTTCTGTTATGTTGTTTGAAGTAAATTAAAGTGTATTTCAATAAGTCATGTAATGACGACACTATGTTCTCTTTTATTCAGTGTTTATTAGATTCCAATAAGTAGATTTCGAGTATGATCACCAAGTCATGTGACTTAAAAACAACATTCAACTTAAAAGTAATCTGTCACTGAGTAGTAACCAACGTCAACGATCAAGTTACAATATGGTCACTGGGTCAAATAACTTCGTATCAGGTTCACATCATTTAATGTTAGATCATATAGAGGGTTTGAATATTGCATGGAACGTCAATTCATTCCAGATTTCAGTCATGTATTGCTAACGAGTAGCAGCTAGCACAAATCCTAGATTCACGATTTCCTGTAAACTATTTAAAGTTACATAAACTATGATCTTAATCTAAAATTATTATTCACATTGCTACATATAATTTCAAAGTATTATATCTAGTACAATGAACCGTAGAAAAGAAATTCATCATAAGAAATCTAAAATTCATAACTAAAACATAATTAATTAGTTATACTTACTCTTCTGTTGGATCTGGATGTAGTCTTACTTTTACAAATGGATCAGCTAAACCATTTAAATCCATCGCTGGAAGATTACGTGCACGTGCAACATGTACAGTTAAACTTTGATCATAATCATCAAATGTTAATATTAACTAGAATTAGATAGATAAATAAATAATAGAGATTTAATAATAACAATATTTTTTGTGGTCATATGAAAATATTTGTAGCTTAATTAGATGCTTTTTGCATGGTATCACACTTTAAAGGCGACATTGTTTTAACTGTAAACTATTATGATTATTATTATGAACAATATAATCATGCGTATACTCCAAAGAAAAAGAAACTTGTCAAAATCATTCCATAAGTGTGAATAATTGGACAGTCTGATAATCTTGCCTGTGACTGACCATTTTCGAAAACTTTGTTATGTATATTTTTAGTCAAACTATTCAGTTGAGTAGGTATAACACTACGTAAACGTTGAACTACGCCTGTATCTCTTCTAGAGTTACTGCCATTTGCAAGCCCGGGTAAAGGAGGAGGGTTGGGGATGGGGTTAGCGACTCTATCCCGTAGAAAACTAACTCGCTAAAAAAACGCTAACCAGAGAAAATAAGTAAGTAAACAAGTACGTAAACGTTTGCAAACCTCAAGAGAGTTTTCAAGAATATTCTCAATTTATGATATTAGTCTGTTAATAACAACTACCTACCTTCTTAATATAAAATGCTAGCACTAACCATCGACTTATCTATTAATCAACAGTGTACAAGGTTTCTCATACATCTTTTTATAGTTATGAAAAGTGCAAACTCATATTTGTTGATCAGTGCAATTTTGATTTAACATAAGAATCAAGTAAGAATGTTGATCATTTTCTGCTAATTCAATGTTGTTCACTGTTTGTTCGGTAGCCAACAAAAATTAAACGTGTAATTACCAGTTTTTTTTAAACAGTCGAAGATTACCATTACACTTGTGATACTGAAATGAAATGGATCTATGGTATTAGATTAAATGGTTTGCTAAAATGAGATGTTTATTCTTTAATAACTCACTAGTTAGCATCAGAATCCGTACTGTCCATTCTTCAAGACACACTAAATTCTATTGATCTACTTTCATACTTTCATACACAATCTAGTGTACAACAGATATCATCATATAAATTTGTAAATGGTGTATCTTGTTAATATACTATACGTTTTCGACATATTTTACTAGATAAACTTATCAAGGAGATAAGCAGAAGTTTTATTAAGTATCAAAATTTAAATCGTTGGTTCGTAAAATACAAGTTCCTTCAATTTAAACTGCGATTCCTGCTTCCAAATAATTTGAATACTTCCATTTGACAGTTTGCTCACTTGTTGGATCAATCAGTATGAATCATTTATTGATACTTCCATTACGAATTCTAGTTAGTCAATAAGTTATACAAAAAGTCATATATTTGTTAATTTTCATTTTAACTCAAAGATTAAGCTTTTTCTGTCGCTATATTCTATTTGCATTGTTCAGTGTGATCTATTTTTATGTGATTGGAATGAATTGTCGCACATAAGGAGGATTTTCAGATGCTTCATTCTCTGAACTCAGTTAACCTAGTTCTATTTCCATTATCTATTATCGTACCAATACATTCAGTCAAATCCTAAAGATATCATAATTTCTGAGCGATCTATTAGGCTAAACAAATTAGGGTTTTATTGAGATCATGAATCAACCAAAGTTAGACAACTATTGAAAATCTGGGAACACTAGACAGTTTTTTCATCCTTGCATAAGACTCTTTAGCAATACGTACTGCTGATGATGATCTTACCTTCGATAATTGAACCAAGAACCTTCAGTATCGCAACGGACACCTAACCTCTAAACCGTTGAATCGGAATCCAATAATGTACAAGTTCAACTTTAATCAATCTGTTATATTGCTCAACCCATTTATACTAAAAACATTTTTGCTACTTTTGGTGGAGTTTTGTTCTCTGAGCTGGATGGTTTGGTCGTGAAGCTTTCATCGTTCTTCTGAACGACATCAACAGCACAAACTTCAATTAGAAGTGAAGTGTTCGAATTTCTCCATATGTGTTTCAAAGCTTAGCTTTCGTTCAGAAGAACGATGAAAGCTCCACGACCAAACCATCCAGCTCAGAGAACAAAACTTCATCAAAATCATCCACCTGAGCTACAAATCTTCTCCACCATTTTTGCTACTTCTTTTAATATTTCAGCAGTGCAATTCAAATCGATGAAAAAAATGGGTAGTGCTTCCGCCTGAATAATTTTATTTTTCAGTTTTTTGTTGCTAACTAGTCTATTGAATCTATTCACGTGAAAAGAAAAGTTAAGTGAAATGTATACATTATCAAGCTAACTGGAAATATGAACTAAATTATTAACCGACTGTCAAAATGAATATCATTTTGAATGGGGGGCCAACGAAATATGAGAATAAAAAATTCACTCTAAACACTTGAGTAAACATTAAAAAAAGTTTTTCATTTCACCCTCCCCCCTCAAAGTAAAAAAACAATCAAAACTGTCACTAAATTATCTCAGTGTTTAATAAAGGAGATTTAGAATATATTTTATATAGGAAAAATGAGAATTCTATTTCAGCAATAGGTTGATATATTCCTGAGGTTTTCTGTTATCGATGCTGTAAAGTTTGATTGGTCACCATTAAAGAGAATTAGCTGAGAAAAGTACTTCTAATGGCAGGAAATTTATATTAGAAATCTGATCAAACAACGAATTATCATTGTTGAAGGTTTCGATTATCATAACTAATAAGGTAAACATAAAACTCAAGCAAATCAGAAGTGAAAATGCGCAGTTCGAGTTATCACTGAAAGTATTTACCCATACATTAAGATATGTATAAATGAGAAACTAGTGATAATATCTAGGAAAAGTGTAATGACCGTCCGAACCTAATGGTCTTGATATTACATATGCAAGGTAATTGGTTCATAACTCATTAATGTCCTTGATGTACTAAGTAGCTTGAGATAAGCTTATAAAAGTACCAAGAATTCGAATATTTGTGATGTGATCTTGTTAGACCATCCTAATAGCATGAATAATTAATCTGTTATACTGATGCTGATTTACTGCCAAAGGCGCCTAATTTTCAGTTAGTCAATGAGGAAAAACAAGAAGGTAGAATTGTGGTGTGTGCTACTTATATTGACATAAGTAGTATATGACGTTAGTTGTGAACAGAAGGTCTGGCAGTAAAGAAACAAGAGGATCGAACAGTAAAGAATGGAAACAAAATGCAATTTGTATGAAAATGCAAGAACAGTGAAGTTTGGGTCATTACGAGACAAGTGATGAACATTTTGCAAATTACGTATTTGCTATTTGATTATTAGATTGTATTAACAAGTCCTGTAATGTTGTGTGAACTACATTCGATTGTCCCCACTGGTGTTCTTGCTCACTACAGTATTACAAAACTCTAGCCCAAAATATTACGTGATTAAACACATAAATCATAACATACAATAATGAAGAGAATACAATTTGTCAGAAATAGGGAGTTTAAAATTAAAATGAGAATATTCGACTCATGATTAAATTACAATAGCTTTTAAACGGAAAAAGATGGTAGAAAAGTCCATGGATCAGACGAGAATTTGGGATTAGGAAAATATAAAAATCAGATGATATTACTAACTACAAATAAATAAACATTAATAAACGAAGGGGTCATCATTTATTGAATAGTAAATTACAATGTTTGTTTTTTGTTGTTTCTTATGTTCACATTATAAAGAATGAAATTAAAACTTCACATTTGAACCATCTAATTTACAGAACAGAAATCTTTTTCATCATTTCAACTCGATGTATATCAACTGAGAGAAAAGTTTTCAATAATATTCGACAGTAATTTATTATCTATGCCAACAGTAAAACACCGAAATACTAGCCCTGATTCGATACATCATAATTTCACTCTACTGGTTGATGATAATTTCAGTAGTTTGAACATATTATCGAAATTTGCAAACTAGATATAAATAAATGCTGTGGTGTATGTTGCTGATATCGACAGATATGAGTAGTATGTATCACTAATCGAAAGTGGAATAACTGGAGGCAGAAGGTTGAGAAAATCGAAGAGACAAGAATGAGAACAGAGAGTGATTCGTATGGAAACAAAGGTACAATAAAGTCTGAGACAATTGATGGATATTTGAGAATGAACTAATTACTATATGGTTCTCAGATTTTAAGAAGAGAATATGTATTTCTGTGTTTAAATAGGTTTGGTTTTCCCCATTTGTGTTTGCGTTCACTACGATGCTAGTAGACCTGATTCGAAACAGTAGGAATCTTTTCCATCATATTCATCTTAATTACACATGACGAGTAAGCGATAAAGATTTGTTTAAATGATATTTAAATTTTTTTTTCAACTAATCCAAAGACCAGAAGGGGTTTTGTGGAGATTGTAGTAATTTAATAGTTGAATTCATGAATCAATTGATGCTAGACGAACATGGAAGACCTGGAAGCACTGAAAGGCCGTTTTATTCTATTATGGAACTCCTCAGCAGTGCGTATCTACGATTCCACCTCAAGAGATTCAAACCCAGGACCTATCGGTCTCACGCGCGGGCTCTTAGCCTCCAGACCACTGAGCCGGCTGGCATCCAACGGTGTTAATGTCTAAATACAACTAGTCCACGAAATTGAGCGCCACCGTCCACCATTGTCTTCAGTGAGTTACTATCTAATAAGAAACCCGGTTGAACTCCATTGATCACAGCCTCTCATTAGAACTCCAGGAATTACCTCTTGAAGTCAGTCACTAGTGAACACATGTTCAATAATATCAGAAGGGGTTTTGTGGACTAATGCGATAAAGCGAGTCAGTTCATAGTCAGTAAAATCCAATCGGCAAATACGGATTACTTGATAACATTTCTAAGCCAAAAAATACTTGAAGCAGAGCTAAGCTTTTTTAGGCAACATTATTTGAATACTTTTTTAGAGGTACATGTTATAACGAATATCAGTTAGTGAAAATATTGAGATTAATATAAGTTGGCTTTAAACTCAAAAAACATGCTCAACAATGGAGAACTACAGACTATCATCAATAAATTTATACCTACTGCATAATTTATTGGCTATCTGAACTTAGTAGCTCAGTGGATAATGCCTTCGCGTTTGAAGCCAAACGTGATCGGTTTAAGTCCCAGTGTGAACATAAACTCTGTAATCCAGATACGTTCAAATGACAAATCCTAAATAAGATAAAACTCGCGTTCTAGATTCCATTAGTAGCCACAAACCATATATACTAATGAATATTCTTTCATGTTTAGTGATTCTTCGAAATAAGATATTTGAGGAAATCCAGTTGGTATATTGGACTTTATTTACAACAACAAAACCATTATTTGTATTCATCGAACTTCCATTAAAAAAATTCACCTACTGGATAATTGTAAACTAACATGAGTACCGGTTGTATTATTTCCTATCAATATTTCCTTAACATCAATACTGACAACTGCATTATACTATGCTTGTTTTAGTATCCTTTGGTTAAAATAACATTAAAGGTAGAAAATTCAATCTGTGTAATGATAATGAGAAACTTTTAAATACAAAAACATTTATCTGATGAAATGACGTTAAATATTGTGATTGGATGAACTCAATTGATGGCGGTATATGATATGAATCAGAAATTTACAAACTCTTAATGAATTTTTCATTTAGATAAAATCTGATCATTTTGTAGAACTGACTTGTAAACACATTACTGCCTAACTGTATTAATTACATACTATTAGTTCATTTCAGAAATAAAATGCTAAAATTTATGCGCAAAGATAAATGGTAGCTAGCAGAAGAATTTAGGATGTGCATTTCGTTCTATTTAAGTCTCGTTAGCCGGATGTACCTACATTTTAGAGTTAATGTTCACTTTGGGACTCCAACTCAGTACCGTTCGTTTCAAACGCCATCGTGTTATCCACTAAGTTATTGAGTCCTGATAGCCACCTGCCTGTACAATTGGGTGAAGTTTAAATTCACTTGGTATTCTTTACTTGAATCTTCCTATTGATGCTTAGGACTCCTATTGATCAATCTCTTATTAGCATATGTGCATACTGTGTATATTGCATCGATATTGCCTTAATTCACAAGCATTATAAGCAGAGACAGATGGTGACCACAAGATGCGAACATGCGAATAAGAAACTTATCACTTGCATTCTTACATATCAATTGAAAAATTCAAACAAATAATACAAAAATGAATTTAAATGTATAGGATTCGTAAATAAATCAAATCATTTAAGTACATGAAGGGCACCATGATGTTTCACAACTGTCGCATATCAACAATCCACCTACATACAGAACACTACAAATCACTTCCTTGAACGTTGAAAGAATTCTCAGCTATTCGTCTTTATTTGAAATAAAAACTACACTAAATCATATTAACAATTATTTTCTTGACTGAAACTTTCGTGGTAAAATCTAAACTTAATTTCAGATTTATAACTATTGAAATCTGTGAAAAACTGGTGAAAAGTCTTTCATTCAAATGATACCAAAACTCAATGATTAATGATTAAAAGTAAAATTGGAAGTTAATTGGAAATGACAGTTGAAGTCTATGGACTTGTTAATAAAATCTAACAATCATAATGTAAATGCTTAATTTGCAAAATCTCCATCGACTGTCTCAAAATGACTCAGATTACATTGTTCTTGCATTTTCATACAAATTGCATTCTGTTTCCATTCTTTACTGTTCGATCCTCTTTTCTCTCTACTGCCAAACCTTCTGTTCACGACTAATATCATCTTCCACTTATGTCAATATAAGTAGCACACACCACAGTACGATAAACAATTACAGATTCTCATCGTAAAATCTGAGAACCATATAGTAATTAGTTCACTTGCAAATATCCATCAATTGTCTCAGACTTTGTTGTTCCTTTGTTTCCATACGAATCACTCTCTGTTCTCATTCTTGTCTCTTCGATTTTCTCAACCTTCTGCCTCCAGTTATTCCACATTCGATTAGTGATGCATACTACTTATATCTATCGAAATTAGTAGCACAGACTATACCAATAGTAAAACTTGTTTATATGTTCTCCGTTAGTAAATAAAATAAATAATATTATTAAATTGAGGATAATTCGTACTGATTTAAATAACAGTAACATAAACTTACTTCAATCTCACCATATTCTAATGTATCATCATGTTTCTCATTGTTAGACTATTGTAATATAAAATAAATGAAAATAATTGAACTAAACACGATAATGAACGGGTTTAACAAAATAATCATTTATGTATTTATTGTGTAGAAGAACTATGTAAAAAAATAAACGTTTCATGGCAAGAGAAATAGCGGTGAAGTACAACGATCTAATCTGTTCTACTTTGAAAATGTGATACAGAATTATTGAATGTAAATGTGATATATAACTTCAAAGTTCATTGAAACTACTACTAGACCAAGATAGAATTATATGGAAGAAAATGTCAAAGCTAAGTTTGTTTAGGCAGTTAGATGTTATCTTGTACAGATAGATGTATTTTAGATATGCATGTGATTGCTTCAATCAACGTGATAGACTAACTAAACAAACTATCAGTTTTAAATGTTTATGAACTAGTTATGACCTACTGATTGTTGACTGAATTATGATATCAAATTGTTAATGGTTGTTTCAAATGGGCCTGATATATTTGTAGAGTTTCCTAAAGCATCAGCGTAAGTAGTCACTTTAAAATACTTTACTAAACATTTGCTGATCATGTCAATTTATTCATTAGAATCCTTATGTAGTCGAAATTGGTAGAGTGAACAACAAAATAGTTGAGAAATACTATACCTGAAATAGAATCAGTTGAAGCTAGACCACCATGGAAAACATGGAAGAACTGGATAGCCGTTTCGTTCTAATATAGAATTCCTCACCAGCGCGCATCTACGATCCCGCCTCGTGAGATTCAAACTCAGGAGCTGTCAGTCTTGCACACGAGCGCTTAACCTCCAGATTACTCATTCGGTATCCATTGGTGTCAATGTCTAAACTCAACTAATTCACGAAATTGCACCACCGTACACCATTGTCTTCAGTGAGCTGATATCTCACAACAGACCTGGTTGAAACCCACTAGTCAAGGCTTCTCACTAGAATTCCAGGAAATGCCTCTTGATGTCAGTCACTACTGAGCAGAGATTTTAGTAATTTCAATAGTTGATAGGTTTAAGTTTCAGAGAACTTTGATATTTGTACTATATCCAGTTGTATTGTATAATCTTCAGGATTATTTATTTAATTATGCTTTTCATCTTAAAAAAATGAAGTCTACTCTAGAATATTTAAATTTAAGATGTTAAGTTATATAGTTAAAGACAGTACCGTTACATCCTACCTGTCATAGAATCTCACAGAAAAGTATTCAATGTAAGAGTAAATATTTTTGTTTAGCTTACCGATCGACTTCCACGTGGTCCATTTACACGGCCTCCTTTAGATAATCTTCTACTATTATTTAATTTATCACTATCAGAATTATTTGACTGTTTAGTATATTTTGAATCTTGTACAGTTGATGGTGATAATTGATTAATAGATTTTTTAGGAGAATTTGATTCAAACCAATTCATAGTGTTATTATTTAGTGTTAATCTACTTTCTTCAATATCTTCCTCTTGTATTTGTTGTTCATTTGTTGAATGTAATTTATGTGAACTATGTGCAACTTGATTCATTGATCGATGATCATTTGATGGCATAGATAAATAATGCTGACGTATATGTGGACAAATTGGTGGACCTTTTGATTGACTCATTAATGCATGTTGTGCTGCATGATGATGACATAAGGCATCTGATTGATTGAAAACGAAAAAAGATAAGGTAGAATTTCATCGAACACAATGAAAATGAATAAGTTAACATTTATAAGAGGGAAAAAATTATTCATGTAAAATGACTAACCAAAACAATGAGATAAGAATAGATAAGAATATAAGAAAAGTGAGTAGAATAAAAGAATTAATTAAAGAGTAGTGCGCTTAAGTAGAACCAATGAAATAAAAGTTTCAAAAAGGAATTAATTCGATCAAATTGAGTTGGCGCAATTTAGAAATACGTCAAGAGTAGATAAACTTAAAAAATATAATCTCAACCTATAGAATAAATCGATAATGATTTGAGTAATTCGAAACTGTAAACATTTTGTTTGGTATCTATAAATAAACTTTAATAGATAATATAGGACTGCAGATGATATACATCAAGATGTACTACAATAATATTTGAATTTCGGACATATTTTTCACAGAAGGGGTTTTGTGGAGATTTTTAGAAATTTCATTGATTGAAATCATGAGTCAATTGAAGCTAGACCACCATGAAAAACCTGGAAGCACTGGACGACCGTTTCGTCTTAGTATGGGACTCCTCATCTGCTCGCTAGTGACTGACTTCAAGAGATACTCATGGAGTTCTAGTGAGAAGCCGTTACCAGTAGAGTTCAACCAGGTCTGTTGTGAAGTATCAACTCACTGATGACAATGGTGTACGGTGGCACAACTTTGTGGATTGGTTGAAGTTAGACACTAACACCGTTGGATGCTGGATCAGTGGTCTGGTTGGTTAAGCGCCTGGAACGAGACTGATAAGTTCTGGGTTCGAATCTCGCGGGGTGTGGGATAGTGGATGCGCACTGCTGAGGAGTCCCATACTAGGACGAAACGGCCTTTCGGTGTTTCCAGGTTTCCCATGTTGGTCTTGCTTCAATTGACTCGTGATTTCAATCTGTGAATTTTTTTAGCAATCCAAATAATAAGTTTCTTTCTGAGTCATCAACTGACCTCAACTGTGATATCACTGAAAAAGAACTAATAACTTTTATCCTAGAATAAAATACCTCAGAAATGTACACCCTTGAACCCGTCACGGATCAAATTCTCAATATACTTAAAGTTATGTTCAGTTATCCATTTAGACCAAAGAAGTGATTTTAAAAAACTCAAGACATTTTTTAATTTTTGTTAAAACATGTACATGAGGGTCTACTGACTGAATTAATATGAACACAATCTATGTACAGTTAGAAATCAGTTCACTGTATCAAAACATGTTTCTTCGAAACATCCATAAGAAAAAAGCGTCACATAGTAAAATTGTCATCCAACCCTTACTCACCATTGGTAACCGAAACACTTATATATGTATATTTCATATCATTACTTCTTTTTATACATAAGACTTTTATAACAGTGAAACTGTCTAACTAAACCAGTTCAACGATATCATATACAAACAAACCGATGGTGTAGCGATGGGACGTCCGTTAGGTCCTGTCCTAGCAGATATTTTCATGGCTAACCTCGAAAGAACCAAACTCAAACGAGCGATTGATGAAATGACGTATTATTCGAGATATGTTGATGATACCTTCATCGTATGTAATAATAAACAACATGCAATAAATCTGCTAGAGTTTTTCAACGAAGCACATCCGAATATCCATTTCACTATGGAACATGAAAAAGAAAACAAGTTCTATTTTCTCGATATCGCGATGAAAAGAAGAAAAGATGGTACAGTTCAACGTTCAGTTTATAAGAAAGACACATGGAATGGTAGTTATCTTAATTTCAATAGCTTTTGTCCAATCAGTTACAAGAAGGCACTGGTCAAAACACTGTTTTACAGATCAGAAAGAATATGTACTTCCGATACACTAGAAGAGGAAGTTATGAATGTTAAAAAAATGTTTAAAGAATAACGGATACCCGCTGAAATTTATTGAGAAATACGGCAAATGTGGAGTTAAAAAGCCGAAAGAAATTACAGCAAATAAAAAGCCTATTTTTATTAAACTTCAATTCAAAGGTGACGATGTCGCAGGATCAATCAATATGAGATTAAAAACTGCACTGACAAGAACTTATCCTGCAGCGAAATTGATTGTCCTGTCCAAAACAACATGCTCTTTGACACAATCAAAGGTCGACAGGTATCCCTTTCATGTTATCACCAACTGTGTATACAAATTTACATGTACCTGCCAAAGCAGTTACATTGGTAGAACAGAAAGGAGAGGCTACGTCCGATTCAAAGAACATATTCCGAAAAGTTTAAGGTTAAATGGATTGAACTCATTCAACAGTGCTATCGCAGGACATCTCCTTGATACAGGACATAAAGCTGATATACTGAAGTCCTTCAAGGTGATTAACAAACAATCAAACTCGAACCTTTTGAAATTCGCTGAAGCGTTAGCAATCAAACGCTTAAAACCAGATCTATGTATACAAAAAGAGAGGGTAATAAATCTTTCTTTACCCTGGTAACAATAACCCCCACTCTTTCTATTAATTTGCTCCTATTTATTTATTTATTACGTCATTATTGCAACTCTTTCTGAAATATAAATTACATCATACATAAATGATTGATTTCAATTCATATTTTCTTTATTACCATTAAACTATTTTCATGAGTTCTAATCACTATTTCAATGTTCCAGAACTTTCCCTCTCAAACTTTATTTATTTATTCGAATCAAACATTTTATGAGCTCATTAACTCTATCTGAATCTTTGCTACATCATAGTACACATATATTCATCCTTCATCACCCTCTTATGTATAAGTATGTCAATATCTGTAATAATGTTGAATTTTAAATAATTTAGGTTGTAAGCAGCTGATGAGAATCTGACGAAATAAAATGAATTCACGTATTATTCTGCACCAATCTTTGTTCTTGCTCTATTTAAGATAATAAAGGGAACTATGTGTATGAAATAAACCCTAACATTTTGTCACTCTATTTTCCTTTATTAATTGTCAGTTCTGATTTAAAAAAACATTCAGTCATACAATCCATGATCGTTTGTAAATTTTATCATTCATATCAACATTCAATGAATTTTCCGGTGAATAAAACATGTTACCATTTTTTCATTTGTATAATCTACACAAAATTTAAACATTTATGAAATTGATATTTTGATTTCATGCCAAAAATTCCTCAAACAAAAAACAACATCGTTTTTAAAATAATATCATTTACGTGTTCGATTAGTTTGTCCACTATTCCCAGTTGATCCTGAACCACAAGTTTTCATTAAAGATGTTGCATCTTCATCATCATCGTCATCATCAAGATATTCTTCATCATACTCTTCATCTTCATCATCTTCATCTTCTATTTCTTCACCATCATCTTCACCTTCATCATCCACATCATCACCTTGGGTATAATCTCTGTCAATAATCAAATAAAATATATACCAAACTTTATATCATATCAACTCCGCCTGTAGCTGGAAAGGATTGCCCAGGACAGGGTTGGGTGGAGAATGCTGGTGAGCGACCTATGCTCCTTCACGAGGAGTAACAGGTGTAAGTAAGTAAGTAAGTTTATATCATATCATTTATTTTTTATTAACAGTTCATACAACCGGTATACTTATAAATACTGATTAATATCATGTTTGGATTAGATAGATGGGACGGGGCTAGCAGTGTCAGTCAAGACTTTTGTTTTGTACTGTTTGGGAGTCGTCAGCTGACTGTGTCTACAACCCAGAATTGATGTTCACTCCTGAACTCGAACCCGTAACAATGTGGTCATAACATCAGCGCGTTTTTCGCTTAGCTACTGAAACAGATAGCCACGCACCTGTGTAACGGTTATGAGATTTAATGTAATTTGGAATAAATTGAATGATCTAGTCGTTGATATTTTTGATTGAGACTTATTAATCCATTCGAACAATATATTCTATATCAATTTATGTGATAATGGCTGTATCAAAGCAATCCGCACAAGATGCCCATTGACCAACCAAGATTGATCAAATTTCAGTCAAAAATATCAATAGTGCCATAATCCATGCCATTTCAAATTGAATTGAATACCATATTTATTTAGTTCTTTATAATGCTGACTGAATTCTATCGATCAATGTTTCAATTTAGCTACTGGTCCAAATAACTCGATATCGTCTACATGTCTTAAAAAGTGATACAACAAGAAGTGGTTACCAAAAATGTGCATAACCTAGATCCAAGGTTTTCTTGTTGACCGCCTACATCCACCTAAAATTTAAGGTATATCACAGCATAAACCACCCATATTTCTATATACATGTTCAGTATTCCAATAGTTTCAATTCAATACACAATACATTGATCGAAATAAAACATCAATTCAGTTTCTAAATACAATGAAGATGAGGTTAGTTTTTTTTCAATACACCATGTGAACTTCACCTTATCGCTTTTTAACAAGATTCTGTTTTCTTCTCACTGCCTAATAAACCCTTCAAAAAAAGGAATGAATGAATTCCCTCTTTTGTAATGATTTAACTTGGAACCCATTTTCATTGCTTTACACTGAAATAAGGTCACTTTTATATGTAAAGAAAGGGAAATATTGAGGTCGTTAAGAATAGACAGCTTTATACTTTTGTCATATTTCTTTGTTATAATCTCTTTCATTTTTTTCACCTCATTTTCTTTCTTTTGGGTGAAACAAATATCTACTTGGTTGAATCATGCTTTTTATTTGTGGGTTAAAACAAAAGGCTTTCATTATTTAATAAGGAGAAACAAACATAATGATAAACAATGCAAGTAGGTTCGAATGGTTTTTTTGTGTGACTTATTTCTTATACTTAAAAGTTTTGAATTATATACGTATATATAATCATAGGACTTAGATAAAAACTGATTGAATTCAGACTCAAATAAAAGAAACATCTACAATTTTGTGGATCAGTTCATTACACATTAGTGACTTGTTAAATGATTCTCCTCTTTGAATTTTCAATTAGAAGCTTTAACCAGTATAATTGATAAGGTTAGAACTGCAAACACGAGAAAATCAAGCTGGCTCCAGATCTGGTCGTGGCTGCATTGACCACAAATTCACCATTCGTCAGATTCTAGAATACAGGCATACTTATCGGCGTCCGACAATCGTGGTCTTTCTTGACTTAAAAGCAGCATTTGACTCCGTAGACCGCGAGATTCTGTGGGAATGTCTGTCATTGAAAGGCGTACCTCAGAAGTAGATCAACCATTTGAAGGCTCTTTACTCGAACACTAATAGTTGAGTGGGAGATTATGGCGAACTGTCATCTGCTTTTGCAACCTCAAGCGATGTCCGTCAAGGCTGTCCACTACCTTCATTCTTGTCTAACTTCATCATAAATCTACTGATGAAAATAACGTTTTAATCTACTGAATTTCCGGGGATTGATCTCCGTTCAGGATGTCTACTTACCGACTTAGAATATGCAGATGACGTAGTCTTGCTAGGTAAAGAAGCTAATAACATGCAGAGTCTTTTAATAGCGCTGAGCAACAGTGACAGGGTGTTTGGGGTGCGTTTCTCGTCCTCTAAATGCAAATTGTTGCTCCAGAACTTGCCCGCGTCAACACCTGAACTAAGGATAGGGAGTGAAGTAGTCGAACGCGTTGACAACTTCACTTATCTTGGAAGACTGATAAGCTCTATCGGGTTGGTGTCTGACAAATTCGAAAAGCTCGTTTGTCTTTTGATAACTTACGTCACCTATGGCGAAGGCGAGATATCCATCTATCAGTAAAAGGACGAGTATCCTGCACGGCAGTCCGTTTAGTTCTACTTTACAGCTTTGAAACGTGGCGATTAAGAGTTGAAGATACTCATAAGCTATTAGTATTTGATCACAGATGTCTTAGAAATATTGCTCACATCTGCTGGTATCACCCACTAAGTAATAGTGAGGTTAGACGTACGGTATTGGGGAATGATGATAAATAAGTTGATGAGGTTGTGAACCTACATCGACTGAGATGGTTGGGCCACGTGTTACGTATGCTCAAACACCGATTACCACGACGTGCAACGCTAACCGGTGTTGAAGATGGTTGGAAGAAAGTTACGGGTGGCCAAAGAAAAACGTGGCATCAGTGCTTGAAGTCACTAACTTCTAGTCTGAGTCATGTTGGGAGATGCAGACTACTTGGTTGGGGTCCGCGTGACTTTCGTAACCAATGGTTGGAGACTCTTGGTGACATGGCTCAGAATCGATCACAATGGCGTCGGTGTATACACTTTTTGTCTTTCTTTAAACTAAGAGATTAAAATCACTTCATATCTTTCTTTCTTTCTACGAACCAATTCTTTCTTCTTGTACTATATCTCTATATGCAATCTTTCTCTTATATATTACCACCTTCGACCTACACACTGCTGTGAATCCGGTGTTCATCTTGCTGTACTAATGATGTGTGGCAACTTGAACCGATGCATGTATGTGCCTGGTCCTACGTTGTAGCTGACTGACTGACTGATAAGGTTAGAAATAAAAATTACCGTTAAAAAAATTCAATAAATTTCAAACTTATAATGTAGTGTAATGCTTGAGAAATTTAACGATACTGAATCTTGTTAAAACAAAAAGGATAAATTATATTCCATTTAACTAAAGATGATTTGAATCGAACTTGTGGATTTGCTATGGTAATGATGAATTACTAACAATCTCTTTCTGAACAATAGTTTGCCCATGATTGATTAAAAATGTCAAGATGTTATATTTTTTAGGGCTCTGATATCTTCGGGTTTCCAATTTTCTAGAACATGCTTAGAAATGCTAACATGAACAATTCTTTTTGTTCTTTTAATGTATGTGATTCAGCACATTCTTTGATGAATTATGCATAAAGATTATAGGTTATATATTTTACTGGATTGTTTTTTAATATCACTAAAGAGTTTTAGTGATTTTTATTTTCCTAGTTGTTTCACAGTTTATATTAGTACATAATAAAAAGCATATTGAAATATGCGTTTTTACAGTTGTCTTTATTCTCAAATGATCGACTTACATTTCGTGAAGTATTACCTTTATTAGTCATTACTGACATGAGAGGATGAGAAACCAATGTGAGAATTAATCAGTATGACGTTAAAAATATGTCTTTGAATTGTCTCCTACAAGCTCTATCGATCTTCCATTACTATTGCTACTGGAACTGCTGCTGTTTTTTTCTCTACTCCTCATGTTCCTTTTCTATCAGTAAGAGTCCAATTGTTACTTCCTGATCCATATTACCTATATGTGACCGTGTAAATAGCACACACCACAATACTATTCAGTTAGTCAGTCAGTAACGACGTAGAACTTCGTATGTACGTACATCAGTTTGAGTTGCCATACCACATTAGAACAAGGATACAATGGTCGATTCAAATCCCATTGTGGTGGAGGTAGTAAAAGTATAAGCAGTAATCAGGAACATTATGGTTTGAAGATGTTATTAAAGGACTATAATTCAGTGAAATAAATTTGGAAAGACAAAAAAAGGGCATGAAGAATTCAGAAGATTAGAGTTTGAGAGAACACAAAGAGTAGATGCACGTGCACTATTGCAAACGATTTTGAGCCATGTCATTCAGGGTCTCTAACCATCGGTTACCATCGTCTCGCAAATCCCAACCAGGTAGTCTACACCTGGGAATATGGCTCAGTCCACTTGTCAGTGACTTCATGGATTTGTGTCATGTTTTGGTCTGGGCGCCCCTAGCTCTCTTCCAACTTACACCTAACCATAATATCTGAGTGTTAATCTGATTGTAAGTAGATCACGTAAAGAGTAGTGCCATTCTAATTTCTTTATGAGGTCAGTAAATACGTATCAACAGTCTTTGTGTTTAAACTAGGCGTTGTTTGGATTCGGTTTTTTCAGTACCAATCTCAAGTCAGTCAAACATTTCACAGGCATAACATCTTAGAAGTGATGATGAGTATTAATTGTCAGATTATCCAATTTCTCTTCCATATAACTTGTAAGCAATTTATGTCAATATTACAATTTTTGTTTTTTCCAAAGACTGACTAATGACAAAACTGTACTCGCATTTGTTAGTTAAATTAAAATATAACTAATAATGACTAGTAAAATGTAAGTTAAAAGATTAATAGCAAACCTTATACTCTTATTTGTTAAGACTAGTATATTTAGTTGAATAAGGTTCTTTAGAAATGTTTATGCAAATATAGTTTTCAGTATAGGGGTTGTAGAGATTATGAAGTTTTTGATTGAGATCATGAACCGATTGATGTTAGATCACCGTTGGAAACCTGGAAGTACTGGACGATCAGGTTTCCAACGGTGGTCTAACATCAATCGGTTCATGATCTCAATCAAAAATATAGTTTTCCCTAAGATTTAGTCATACACGCACCTTATATGTACTTAAGTAAGATGTATATTTAAAGTTATTCAATATTTATTATCTATAAGAGATTATAATTTTGAAGTTGTTGCATCCTGAAGACCAATTTTTAAAAAAAACCTCACATAAATATAAACAAGTTTATGGGTTATAATGATTTATCGCGTTCCGTCATGCATTCATCAATCTTTAAAACATAATTGATGTATTATATTTAATAAGTATAAAGAGAATATTCCATAACGTCATGATATCACTAAGCGATAAAACATTTATCATTGAAATGATCGTTAGTTAATGATTAATGACCATTCTATATTCTTTTTTTGGTTTTGAAATCTACCATGTGATAGTATGACTACAAGTTTCAACTCAAAAGTAGAGTAAAAGTGATTGAGATAGTTTACGTTTAATGCAAAAGGAAATAAATGAATTTAAACTATTAGAAACATTACTATATTTATAAATTTCATGAGTTTCATAACTATATAGAAGGTGGTTAATATCTGTTGCGAATATAATGAAGGTTTCCACAAGCATACACACACATTAGAGTATTGACAGTTTAGCTATACAAGATAATATCAGAAAGTAAACCTTATTATTTACATATGATTTATAATTTGCATTTGAAAAGATAGTTCACTCTACAACTGGAGCATATTATCGAAGATCTTTGTTTCAATTATTGCCGTAACCAAGCTTCTCTTTAAAAACTAACGACCGTTTCATGAAAGAGGAGATAAAAGTGTAAGTACTTATACAAACAATAACGAGTCCTACTATTCATTGAGCAGTGTTTGCATTTCTATGAAGACTTATGTTACACTGAAATCATTGGGACTAAGTTTGCCGTGATTAATAGACTTGGTTTGATCGATCTTGGAGATTAGTTACATTCGTCTTGTTGAAACTGAGAAAAGATTGTAGGAAAATAAACGTATATCTACCTGTGCGGATCGTAGTTGTGTAGTGATGAAGAGTTGTATATTAGGAAGAAATAAAATTCTAGTTTGTCCTGTTTTCTATATATTATCAGCTAGGGAGACAGTTATAATCACTACACATCGTGAAACAAATATCAGTTAACTGGATTTTATATACCGAATCAACACAACGAGAATATTAAAGGTTTAGAAGTCATTGCCTAACTAATGACAGTGAGAAAAGCTATACATTGAGAATGTCATTCGAAAATACGAAGTGGAAAAGTATGGATAAAGAGATGCCTTAACTCAAGATCTAAAGTACTATGAATAGTAAGTTCAGCTGCTTTATCGTCACTGATGTCGAACTATAAAACCCAAAGTTACCAACCATCATTCAAGTTTATTTTATATACCTCAACTGGGTGGTCTGGATCTACTAATATGCTCAGCGTCGATAAATAACAAAAACCATCTTCAGAAAATACTAATCTTACAATATATTTAATTATATAACTTAGTAGTTTATGAATTATTGAAATCTAATGCACTGGTTATGAACTTAGTACTATCTAATCCGTGTTTCTAGGCAGGCTCTAACTTGGAATCCTGAAGGGTAAACGAAAAAAGTAGGGCAAAAAAACACATTTCACCGGGATTCGGACGCATAAATCAAAAGAATGAACAGTTCTTGTGAATAACTGGAAAGGAGAGACTAGGAAAGAGTTGGGCGGAGTATCGTAGTTAATGGCTTATGCCGCAGGAAGGGTGAAAGGTGGAAAAGGAAGTGAATAAATCCGTGTTTCCCCTTAGAGTATATTCTTTGCAAGTGAATATAATTTTAAAAAAACTATAACTCCATGTAATTAAGGAATGCTTTGAAATTATTGTATAAGATGTTAAAGTAGTGTTTCAGTGAAATGAACAAATAAAAAATGATAATGAACTAAATTAATAATTGAAATATATATCGGTACATACATAAACTTACGCTCTGACAAGTAACTCGGTTTCTTCAGAAACTTGACTAATGATAGCTTGTACTTCTTCAAATGTCTTGCCGACTAAAGGAATTGAATTCCATTCAAGTATTTCATCACCTATATGAATAGATTTAAGATGAAACAAAATTCAATCTGTATTGAATCATCTCTTCTATCAAGTAAATGAATAGATTTGAAACGAAAGTCTGACAAACAGTTTCATAGAATATTCATTATTCTAAATGAGAAGCATATTATTGCTTGATATCAGATGATTTACCAGTATAACGAGAAGCATATTAATAAGAGAGTAGTAGTAGTATTGGTAGTAGTAGTAGTGGTAGTAGTGTAGTGAAGGAGAACACAGGTGAGGACAGCCGGTAAATAGCACACACCACAGTAGTAGTAGTAGTAGTAGTAGTAGTAGTAGTAGTAGTAGTAGTAGTAGTATGTTAATGGTTTTTATTTATCTAACAGATACTATTTCAAAATTTATTTACAATCATTCAAAGATTAAAGATTTTTTAGATTCATAACTATTATCGATAATAATCAGAGACGGGTTTTTGTGGACATTATAGTAATTTAATAGTTGACTTCATGAGTCAATTTAAGCTAAACCACCATGGAAAACCTGGAAGCACTAGATGGCCGTTTCGTACTAGTATGGAACTCCTGAGCAGTGCGCAATCACGACCCCGCCTCCCGAGATTCGAACCCAGGACCTATTAGTCTCACGCGAGACTGATCGCGACCAATAAGATGAAGAACTATATGATGAAAACAGTTTGATCTCATCCTAAACTTACCCTTGTAATATTGTTTTATTATTCAGAGTGATGAATTTCATATTGTTTTTCACATTATTTTTCTTAATTACTTTTGTTCCCTCTTATCTTTCATTAATCAAGTTGACATTCCTAATTTTTCATATATAAGTGTTCTTAACAAGCCTGTTTATGCGTGATCAGATTATTTGAAATATACTGCGCTAAATTATCATATCCTTGTGATAATCTTCGTCTTTTTATTATACTATACAAATTTATCAAAAAAGGATTAATCTAACTTCAATCAATAGGAATATTGAAACTAACTAACTCTGTCATCCAGTAAGAAAAATGATTAACAATTACAGTGTCAGAGTTCAGGACATGAGAGAAAACGACCTAAGCAAATACATAGGAAATGACCACATGGTTATGAATAGTAACCAATCGAATATCAAGTCAACAGAACAAGCAGTTGATCAATTGTGGAGAAATTCTAATAGCATACTTTATTTTGAAGTAAGTGATAATAATGTTGTTCAGAAGAACAATAAAAGCCTCACAATCAATCTGTCTAGCTCAGAGCCTACCACATCAAAGTTCTCATACTGTATTATAAATATTTTTCATCATCTTATAATTCCCTGTTGCCTTCAATGATTTTATGATTATTGTCAGTCAGTGATGTAATGTTACAACCGTGATGCTAAAACCCCATCAGTTTTAACAAAAAAAAATTCCATCATTATCTTGAATGAAGAAAAATATTCGCTTATATTGCATTTCTTACTACATTCAGATCGTTTAATACGTTATGTAAACAAATAGACATGAATGCAAAATCTCGAGTAAAGTGAGTATAGTATTTAAGTGATGGTAAGAACTAAAAAAATTAAATTTTAAATTCAACTGGAGATCTGAGCGAACAAGGATACAAAACATGGATTAAGAGATAATAAAACTAATGGGATCTAGAGGGTAATGCACGAAAGATGTATTTGTCACGTTTGGGCTACTTTTTGAGATTGAAGTTCCTGAAGTCGACTCTCAGCTGTAAGGTTGTGTATGTGCACTGTTGAGAAGTCGCATACTAAAATGAATCGGCTTTTTAGTTCTCCCAGGCTTTCAATGGTTGTCTGACATGGATCTGTTAGTGATTTCAATGAAATTTAACAATCTCCACAAACCCATAATGACAACACAACCAAACGTTTTATGGTTCGTAGATGAACCATTTTAAGATAATAAAGATCAGTGTTCTTACATGAAATGTTGAAAAAAAATCACAATTTCCTTCTACCTTTAGTTGAACAATTTGGCAAAGAATATTTCCTAGACAAAAGAGATCATGCCACTAGATTACATTCTAAAATCTTGTTTCAGTATGTTTATGTCATAGCTCACCCATTCCTTTCACATACACGCAGAAAACGGAAAGTCTTTCTACGTTTTAGCTGTTCCATTAGATTGTACGACTATTTTTCTTAAACTGACTGACTGTATCGATTAGTAAATTTAGAAACTTCAAATAACTTAGTTTCTTTACCGTCAATCTTGCATCTAACTGGGGAGAAAATACATTTGCTGATACGATTATAAATCCATACGTTTGAGGATTACAACATAATGTATCTGTATCAAGAAATGATGAATATCTATCGCTAAGCAATGATTCATAAATAACTTTTGCATACCCTATAAGAAATATTTATTTCAACTTCATCACTTCCTCTTTTCACTTCTTCATTGTACTTTGCAACGAAAATAGATAAATGAAACAGATAAATAATTCTAAATTTATGTATGAAAATTACCTTCTTTTATCTCTCCATGAAGTTGATCAGCTGGACCAGATGGATAAATTTCTTCAACAAATGCTCCTAAATTACCATCTGATCGAATATGTCCACCAACTATGCGCATACCAATTCCACACCCTGTGAAATGTTAAAAAGTAAGAAAAAAGAATATATTCAACTGAAGGTGAACAATTTCCAATTAACTTCGTATTCCCATTATAACACCAACCTGATCGAGCCTCATCATCACTGTCACTACAATATCAGTACACTGGATTTTCTTTAAAAAACCGAATCCATTATACTATTTTTTTCTAGCTTACTTAAGTTTTAAATAGTCACAATGCCGCCCCCCGTGAAACGATGCGAATAAACAAACAGGGTTTTCCAGATCTTAGAATGTTTCATATACCTTAAATAGGTAAGATATACCATTTACCATAAAATGATTCATTTATGTCATCTATTCACGCTATCATAAGGTTACATTTTGTATGTTAATGTTAAATATGTTCTTGTTAAGCTTATTATTATCACGAAGTGTATACAACTAGTGATGTTTTACTGTCAAATCATTGCGTTTATGCTTACATATTCGGAATGCACTTCATTACATTAATAGCGTTTCAAATGCTTCATTTGAAATAGACTATAAATCAAGTCTTTTCGAAAACTGTCGAATTATCTTAGTATTGTTGTCTATCAATTCATATCAACCTTTTCATATTTATGTGTTAGTGTACATTATATATACATTATCAGAAAATATTATTGTATTATATTCATAAAACACCTAAGCTAAAATAATATATTTAAATTATAAATTAATTTTGTCTAATTTTACTGCTTCTCACAAGAACTCCAGGAAATCTATCTTGAAGACAGTCACTAGTGAGCATATGTTGACTAATATCAGAAGAAGCTTTCGTGAATATTATAGTAGTTTCGATATTTGAGATCATGACTCAATTGAAGCTAGACCACCCTGGAAAATCGGGAAGCACTAAACGGCCGTTTCATTCTATTTTTTGACTCCTGAGCAGTGCGCATCCACAATCCCGCCTCACGAGATTCGAACCCAGGAAATACCAGTCTCGCGTGACAACGCTTAACCAGTAGACCACTGGGCCGGCCGGCATCCAACGGTGTTAATGTCTAACTTCAACTAATCCACGAAATTGAACAACACATTCACCATTGTCTTCAGTGAGTTACTATCCCACAATAGGCTGGAACGGCCGTCCAGTACTTTCAGGTTTTCCATAGTGGTCTAGCTTCAATTGACTCGTGATCTCAACTACTAAAATATGGAGTCGTTCTATTGTCTGTTTAATCTAACAAGTATGAGAATACCAAATATGAACATGCAGAAATGTTGATAAAAGTAATCATAGTGATCATAAATAGTAGATGCATTATTTTTTCCTCAAATGTACATCAACCAGTAATGATATTCAATGATCAACAGTTCTATAGCCGTTTGTAAGTTACAAAAATATTATCTCTTTCCGACGTTTTATAACATTGAATTATACAGTGAATGAGAATTGATCCATATTAATTATCCATTTCCTGTTGAATTAAAATAAATGACCAATAGCATAATGACCCAGTAATCTGCACTCTAGTTTACATGAATAAAACACTAAAAACAAGTGAACTGAATATTCTTAAACGTTGAATTACAATTGTATGATGGCGGGGATTTGTAGTTCAATTTGATTATTTAGGTGGAATTTTGTTCTCTGAGCTGGATGGTTTGGTCGTGGAGCTCTCATTGTTCTTCTGAACAACGTCATCAGCACAAACTTCAGTCAGTCAGCTACAATGTAGGACCAGGCACATATGTGAATCGGTCCAGGTTGCCATAACGCATCAGCACAACAAAATGAACACCGGATTCACAGCAGTGGTTAGGTCAAAGGTGATAATATATAAGAGAAAGATTGCATATAGAGATATAGTACAAGAAGAAAGAATTGGTTCGTAGAAAGAAAGAAAGATATGAAGTGATTTTAATCTCTTAGTTTAAAGAAAGACAAAAAGTGTATACACCGACGCCATTGTGATCGATTCTGAGCCATGTCACCAAGAGTCTCCAACCATTGGTTACGAAAGTCACGCGGACCCCAACCAAGTAGTCTGCATCTCCCAACATGACTCAGACTAGAAGTTAGTGACTTCAAGCACTGATGCCACGTTTTTCTTTGGCCGCCCCTAACTTTCTTCCAACCATCTCCAATACCGGATAGCATTGCACGTCGTGGTAATCGGTGTTCAGGCATACGCAACACGTGGCCCAACCATCTCAGTCGATGAAGATTCATAACCTCACCAACTGATTTACCATCATTCCCTAATACAAACTTCACAAACTTCAGGTAGAAGTGAATTGTTAGAATTTCTCCACATATAACTCACAGCTTGTCCTGTAGACGTTGATGTTGATTGGTTATTGTTGACATTTATCCGTCATTATCTACTTCTTTATTATGATTGTGTCACCCTTTGATTTGATTTTTGGTCCTATGTTTGTCCTGACGTGAGTGCCAAGCTTCGAAAAATTCTCTGGTGTTTTTAGAATCGCCTCTATCCAATATCTCAACGTTTTCTTAGTCAGATGTGTGTCCACAGTTGTCCACATGCATTGCTGTATCAGTGAGGATATGTTATGGCGTTTGATTGCTAATTGATGCATGTGGACAACTGTGGACACACATTCGACTGAGAAAATGTTGAGATAATGGATAGTGGGAATACCAAAAGCACCAAGCAGTTTTTAAAAGCTTGGAACTCAGGTCAGAACAAACATAGAACCAAGAATCACATCAATGGGAGACATAATCTAAATAAAAAATTAAACAATGGCAGATTCAAGGTCAACAATAACCAATCAAGATCGGGTCATATGTAGAGAAATTCGAACACTTCACTTTTACGTAAAGTTTGTGCTGATAATGTTGTTCAAAAGAACGACGAAACCTCCACGACCAAGTTATTCAGCTCAGAGGACAAAACTCCACCTGTACTACAACTATACATACTCTGTTGATTCCTCAAAATATATTATTTAGGTTGAGATACTATAAAAAGCAATTGACGAAAATCATGAACCCATCTAACTTAAACCACTACTGAAAACTTGAAAACATCAGACGGCCGTCTAACGTAAATTAATTCATGATTTCAGTGAAATTCAACACTCTCTACAATCAAATACTGTTATTGTAATTAGGTAACAAACCTTTCCACGTTTGTGAAAAAAATAATCATAATCCAAGATAATACATAAAATATATTTTGAGTATATTAGTAAAACGACGATTAACACATATTCGTGAAACATTACAACGTTAAATGGATTTTAAGTGAATATTTGAACAAAGAATATTCTTTTCGATAAATTCTCTTCAGATTCTACAATTATATATCCAAATTAATAATCCGAAATTTACATTTTCGTGCTCGTGAACACTTCCCAGCGTGGCTAAACAAAGGTTTGATGAAGAAAGTGAACAGTTCGATATTGGCCCATTTAGTATAAACTGGTCATAGTGCCAGTATAAACCAATCTTTTTCAATTATTTATAAGGTCAGTAATTTTTTGCCAAAACTTGTCAGATTTAAAATCCTTTAAACGGCTGAAGCAGTAGCCATCCGGATGAAAAAGCCGGAGCTCTGTACAGAAGAAATATCTTCAACCATCCCTCCAACCCTGGCCAACATCAAAGACAATTAATCAAGTTATCTTAGCTACTGGATGACCTAATTTAACTACGACCTTTCCTAGTCAATTGCAATTGTCTCTGTTATCTTTATTCATAAATCTTTGTATTATTATTATTACTATTGGTTAAACATCATTATTAATTCTCCCTATACATGATTCATTCACTTCACAATCATCCCTCCTTATTACGTCTTACTAATTTTTCATACAATATAGTCTTCCATTAAACATTTGATCGAATTGTAATTGCATTATTATTTCTCTCATTCTATCTAACTCATATTTATTCGGATCATGCATCTTAAATTTCACTTAACATATACGCAGATTCAAGTTAACATTCTATCTGAGTCATATTAACATTAACAACTTTATTCTAGTTTGTTTGACAATGCTAAATTCACTTGCTTTAATTGAGACCATGTACCGATTGATGTTAGACCACCACTGAAAATCTGGAAGTACTGAACGACCGTTTCGTCTTATTGTGGTACTCCTCAGCAATGCGCTTTAAACGATGCATTTTACCCTTAACCTTGCCATTTTTTTTCGGATTATTAATTTGGATATATATGAATTGTAGAATCTGAATAGAATTGATCGAAAAGAATATTCCTCGTTCAAATATTAATCTTTTAATATGATGGGGATCTTTAAATGATAATTACTCGATCTATTTAATAATAAATAACAATTTGTATTCAAATGTAAAATAACTTAATGGTAATAACATTTACCTTTTTGATGTCGATCCTTAGATTCACGCATTAATAAAAGTCGTTTAGTTGGAAAATCATATGTACATTTTGTAGGTTGTATTATTGATTTAGACTTCTGTAATTAAAATAAATTATAAAGTTTCCTATTTTAATTATTGAATAAATATTCAGTTACATAATTAAATTCATTTCTATGAATTATAAAGTCTAATAGTTATCAATAAAAATCGAAATAGTATGTATAAAGTTGTTAAGTGAATCTTTTGAACAAACATTATATAATAGACAATGATGGATAGTGGCTAGCAATGGAATCCAGGATGCCCGTTTCGTTCTATTTTGGGACTCAATGGGAAGATACAAGTCAAACAATACTAAGTGAATTTAAATTCACTCCATTTCACAAGCAAGTGGCTATCAGGACTCAGTAGCAGAGTGGATAATGCGATAGCGTTTGAAGCGGATGGTACTGGGTTGGAGTCCCAAAGTGAACGCCAACTCTGAGGTGCAGGTACATCCAGCTGACGAATCCCTAATAGGACGAAACGCGCGTCTTAGACTCCACTGTTAGCCACTATTCATCATTGCTTAAAAAAAGTGTTGAGTGTCCATATGTACACGAAATCGAACATATTCAATCAACCTTAATTTATAATAGATTCGGATATATCTTAGTAGTAAATTAGGACAAACGTATTTATCGATGCAGAGTGATTATATAAAATTTGATACTGTAGATTTATTGAATATCGATTCCTTTATATTTGCGCAACTTGGAAATATCGTACAGATGAAAAGTAGTTGTTTATTAATTCACCTTCCAGATATCTCATTTACTTAAATATTTCTTTTTTACATCTAGAATGTTGCAAAGAGATATTAAACTAAGTTGTTTCGATATTTAATACATATGATCTGTAAAACTTCATTTCATAGTGAATTTATTTATTCTTATGTAGGTCAGAATTGTATAACTACAATAAAAACAACAACAACAACTACTACTACTATTACTACTTGGTTGGGGTTTCCCCGCGTGGGTTCGAATTCCATCTACGTCGTCACTGATAAGTCTTGGTAATTTGAACGCTATATTCGGTTCCTAAGCTATTCTTGTAACCCGCAATCTAGAACTACGCAGAAACCTAAACTCGAGAGAAAAAACGCAAAATAAGCGAAAAACACTTTACTCCAAACGTTCATTTTTGTACAGAAAAACACGGTTATTTATAGATGTTAACATTTGTTAAATGAACATCATATTTTGTCCAATCTGCTAAAAGTCATATTATGCTACTGAACAATAGAAGCACGCCACGTTGATGTCCTAGAAAGTTCCATCATGCTCTGATTGGCTAGGACCCTAAGGCTCCTTTAGGGTCTCAGGAGGCTCCGTTGCAGTTCTCGGAAAGTCAACTCAACACTACTACTACTACCACTACTACTACATGTTAACGAATTATTTCTCATATTTATTAGTTTTGTTCAGTTTTCAATTCAGTACCTGAGAATGGCTAAAGGGTATTTCGTATTTACCGAAGTTATTTTATGCTGCTTGAATACCTTAACTAAAATCAATTGATCAAAACAGAAGCCAATCAAGTATTATTTTTTTAAACTCAAAAAGGAAATTCAATAAATGTTTTCTGAAAAACAATCCTTATGTGTTACAACGCATATGTCAATCCTAATCAGATTGAGATCAAATAAATGAATGAAGCCAAATATTTGGTCACTCAGTGGCGAAGGATACGATGCAGAACAATTTGGGAAGAAAACATATAAAATAACCGAAGATTTCTAGTTTAACAGATATTGAATCACTTCCTTAATGCATTGAATATTGGTCACAATTGTATAGAGTAGTAAATGTAACATGACTTATTAAATCAAAATATCAGGTTCTGTAAGTGACATAACCCTGAATGTATAATTGTAATGTCGAAAATCTCAATTTTTATATTAATCAAAACTTCTTATTGCATGTATGTTCACTTCAACTTCAATTCACTTTCACTCCTGTTTCATTTTTGGTGTCCAAATACTGATGAATCTTTTGCTGGAGGCACCTGTCACTATTTTAATCTTTTTATCCAATGCTTTAAATAAGTTTCTGTAACAATTTTCATCACTAACTCTGCTTTTACTACGATTTTTATTAAAAGCGTAAACCCTAGTATACTGAAAGCTAGTTTAATTACAATCATATATTGATCTAACAGGGTTCTTGGTTAAGGCCGGGATAGCGTCTAGTCATTCTGAAAACCAATGTAACATTACCTTCTTACAGATTATACTTATTATTGTATAAGACTTGACAATAGTCTGAGCAATCAATTAAATAAATGAATTCACTATCTACAGTTCCACTTGTAAAATGTTTGCCTAAACTCTTGACTAATCTCTTTTCTTATAGAATAGGTGGCAAGGATGAGAATCCAGGACGATTGTTTAGTCTTGTTTGAGACTTGTCAGCTAGATGTACCTAAAATATTGGTTATTCTGTGACAATCACCATTGGATTCATATATCCTACTTAAAATTCAATCGAAATATAAACATTGCGATAATCCAAAGTATTACAAATTCAATTATAATCCTTTTTTTTATTATTCACAGTTAATAAACTAATATTATCCTAAGGATTATGTACACAGTTTATTAGAATTTATAATATATGAGAGAATGTTGTTATCATACAGACACAGAAATACACTCACTATGGTATGGAATAGAAAACAAGAATATTATCAGTACTTCTGTTCATATTGTTTTGATAATTATCTCAATTACTATTTCTCATAAGTATTGTTACTAGTATCAAGGACTTTACTGATGTTAAATGTAGGTATAACTTACGTGATTAGTTAATGGATTGAATGAAGGCCATGTAGTATTGTTGTCTATCCATGAATCCGGATTTTTCGTGTTATCTATGAAAATAAATATAATAAGTAGAAACGTTTACTAAATTACGGATATATATATAGCAATTTTTGTGACATAATTAGTCGTTTACTCGTTTCTTCAAGATGACAGTAAAAACAACTTTAATTTGTCCCACTTTTTTTCCCTTATTATGCTTACGGAAAGTTATCACCTACATTGTTAATTTATCATAAAAAATTTGAAAATGTTATAACTACTTACAATAGTTAGGTAGTATCCTTGGATCGACGAGAAAAATAGTTGAATTGTTATAACTCAAGTGCTGGCATATAATGTCATTTAGACCTTAACGTAACTGTACTAATCTAGTCGATTCCTCCTGGAGATCTTCTAGGGTTACTGCAGGTCCCGAACCCGAGAAAAGTAGGAAGGTTAGGCATGTGGTTAGCAGCCATGTCTAATAAAAAAATTGTTGCTAAAAAAGAGCTATTCATGTTTCGGAGAGATTACAATTTATGAACCAGCCAATCAGATTTAGGATAACAGGTCTTGGATTTTGGCAAGAAATTCACTCACCCATTCGTCTAAATAACGTCTTGGCATTTTAGCTAATGTCAGTTCGCGAGGAAAACCATAAATCTAAATCCTAACCCTTACCATCAACTATAAATGATTGTCATTATTCTTCAGAATTCTTTATAACCTTCATTTAACCCTATTAAGTAGGTAGACACTCTCAAGGTCACTTTGGCGTCGCTCAAAGGTTGTCCATAAATTATAGTCTCACTAATGTTTATTTTTTGAAACGTATTTGAATGACATTATGAACAGTAACAATTTGAACAACGTTACACTGATCATTCCAAAATCACTTCATTTAATTTCTAGTTGTGTTCTATTTTGTCACCTACTTTGAGATGATATCTTTAAGTTCAAGTGAGTTGTAACCTTTTAAGTTCAGCTAATATGCTGAGACTAAAAACACAATTGTTAAAAGCGGTATTCAACGCTCATCGTGATACATTTTTAATTGACTGAAGTTAAAGTACAGGATGCTAATCCAATAATTTAATTGTTAAAAAAACTTTTGCTGCCTAACTTGGCGAGTTCGATCTCTAGACAGGTTATATATGTACACTGTTGAGGAATCACATATTTAGACAAAACACCTACTCAATACTCACCAGTTTTCTGTGTTACTCAAACTGGAGTCGGTGATAAATAATACTCAAAAATAAATGAGTTTGTGTTTTACCTATTTTAGTAACAATTACACCCTAATATTAAATACTCTCTTTATCAAGTCGGAAGAATTACCGGAACTGTAGGATACAGTAGAATTGGTGAACATTGAAAAGGTTGAGGTTTAGTTTTTAGCTATATATTATATGAAAGCTAATATGATTGTATCGTTACTAGAAATAAAATAGCTGGATAGTTATTGTTCATATAATTCAATTATTGGACACTGAATGAACTGGCTACTAAGTCAGTTGATTCGCTACAATGTGAATTATTTAAAAGTCAAGGCTTATATGCTAACAATTTCTTAACGTTACCTCATAAAATATATAGATAAGAGATTCTAAGATCTCTTTTGGAAAAAGTGTCTCGTATGAAGCTGTCCATACTAACTTATCCTATTGACCCTAGTTATTTTAATAAGATTAATTTGAACAAATCGCAACGAATAAGCAATAAAAATAATGTAGTTTCTAAATGAATGATCTGGCATTGTCTGGTACAACTACCTGTTAAAGTGAATAAAGAAAAGCATAAGAGACTTAAACATTTCTCTTCGTATAGTAAAACGTTCAAACACTATGAATTAATAAGAAGCTTAGGAAGAAAATTTTTGAAATAAACTGTAAAAATGCAATAGATAAATTATAAATAAATGAATTTCAGTAGTTGAGATCATGAGTGAATTGAAGCTAGACCACCATGGAAAACCTGGTGGTACTTAATGGCCTTTTTGTCCTGTTGTGAGACTCCTCAGCAGTGCCCATAAATAAATGTTAAGTCATAATTATATTCGTACTATAAAGGAAGATAAGTAATGAAGACATTTCTACCACTATGGATTTTCTTCAACTTTTATTAACCTGAGATTTGATTTTATCCATAAATGAAATTTGACTATTGAAGCTTGATTAAATGATTTCGATATCTATTTCTTTGTAATAATCCATTTTATATCTGCTGTGCCTTTAAGTCCAGCTAGTTATCACGTAATTTATTCGCCAATCAAGATACGACTTATTCACCCTTGCACTGTACTAAACCAATAACGTTCGTCCAGTCCGACTGGCCTACCTATTGATCCGTTGCTAGCCTAGTCCGTCCAACTGAGTTCAGAATGTCAATAACAGCCTTCACTATGCGAATCATTTATTTCAGACATATCGAGTTGATATTATCAACCAAACGGACCGCAACGCACCATAAAATAATAGATAACATTTATACACAATAAAGCCAAAAAATGGCTGTGAACATGGGAGACAATAATTAATTGACTGAGTATAATTTAAGAACAATAAATCGTACAATAATAATCTATAAATCAAAATGAAGCTTATAATAAGATGCATATAAATATACACAATCTAATTATTGAATAGTTATCCCATAAGAATATACAGATAATATTAATCCACTAATAGGTCTCATCAGTTACTCGTAATTTAATCTTCGCTAGGATCTAACAATATCATCAAAGAATTTCCAGAGAAATACTTACTTTGTAGATATGATTTTTTTATTGAGCAAAATGGTTACTTATGTAATAGTTAGACAATTTATTAAACGAAATGTATATTATCTTATATGATATTGAAATGTAATGTTTTACGAAAACTAATTTCATCCATTATTAATCATCGTTCATAGAGAAAGTATACAACAAATCAATAATGATGAATAACTTCCGTTATATAACTACTACATTCAAAAGTTCATTATTTATTCAATATAATGTTTATCACAATTAACTTCCGTAACATAGTTAGTTAATCGATTCGATTAAAAGCAATAAAACAATAGGAAACTGAAAAAAAAAGACGAAAAGAATTTTTTTTATTTTTCTAAGGAGGAAAAAAGAAACAGTGGAATAATTAACTACACTACACACAGAACTACAAATAGTTAGGTATACTTACAAAGAGGGTAAACTTCTAAGAGAATATTTTATATATATATATAACGTGAGTTAATATGCAATGGTGATAGTAAGCTGCTTCTTGAAAGTAACTGCCAGTGGATTTTGTCAAGTTTTTGACTTTAATTAGGGTGGTTGGGTATATATATATATATAAAGAATGATGTAGTTGTACGTTATCTAGGACAAATCGATAATGAAAAAATATTTACAGTAAATGATATTGAGTACCATCATGTCATTTTGCTAAAAAAAAAGCAAAACAAATAATTTTTATGCTAATATTTGAGCCCTATATTAGATGACATTGAAACTGATCGATATATGGATGACACGCTCATCCTCTGTAAAGATAATATATCACACCAAAAGGTTCTTAGGCAGTTTAATGAAATACATCGAGCCATTGAGTTTATATCTGAAGAAGAGAATGATGGTAGAATAGACTTTTTGGACGTTCTCTTAACTATAAGAGCGAATGGATCAATAAACAAGTAATTTAAACAGAAAAAATACATGAACTGGGCAGTATACGCATTTCCTTAGCTTTGTACTTCTACAGTACAAACAAAATTTATTAATTAAATTCACTTGATATTGTTTTACTTGAATTTTCCCATTGATGTTTTTTTTTTGGACTGAAATTGATCAGTCTCTTATTGGCATATGTGCATACTGTGCGTATGCCTCGATATTGCCTAAATTTACAAGCATTATAAGCAAAGATGGATAGTGGCTAGCAGTGGAATCCAGGACGCGCGTTTCGTCCTGTTTGGGACTCGTCAGCCGGATGTGCCTGCATCTCAGAGTTGATGTTCACTCTGGGACTCGAACTCAGTACCGTTCGCTTCAAACGCCATCGCGTCCCAAACAGGACGAAACGCGCGTCCTGGATTCCACTGCTAGCCACTATCCATCTTTGCTTATAATGCTTGTAAATTTAGGCAATATCGAGGCATACGCACAGTATGCACATATGCCAATAAGAGACTGATCAATTTCAGTCCAAAAAAAAAACATCAATGGGAAAATTCAAGTAAAACAATATCAAGTGAATTCAACTTCAACCCATTGCACAAGCAAGTGGCTATCAGGACTCAGTAGCTAAGTGGATAACGCGATGGCGTTTGAAGAGAACGGTACTGAGTTCGGGTCCCAGAGTGAACATCAACTCTGAGATGCAGGTACATCCAGCTGACGAGTCCCAAACAGGACGAAACGCGCGTCCTAAAATCTAATTAATTAGTTACCGAATATGCACTATATATTCGACGGATATAGATAAAAAAGAGCTAAACACCATGTGTAATACTCTTAGGGAGAATGGTTACCATAGAAAGTTTATAATTAAATATATCATCATGAAGATGAAAATAGGCTAAATACAAACAGTGAATAAAAAATCCCTGTTCATGCGCCTAAAATCCAGAGGGGATGCGGCTAGCGAAATATTAAATCAGAGATTACGCAGAAAACTGAAAAGTCTTTCAACGCCGGAGAACTACTATTGATGTTTTCCACGCATCAAATGGTGACACATAGGCAACAAGATAAATTAACTAGAATGACCACCTCATTTTGTATTTATCAGTTCGACTACTCCTGTGGAGCCAGTTATATTGGTTGAAGTTCGAGGAATTTACACTTTCGTGCTTGCGAACACACAGCCTAGCTAGACAAAAGTCTGATGAAGAAAGTGAACAGCTCGATATTGGCCCATTTAGTGCAAATTGCTCATAGTGCCAGTATAAACCAGTAATTTTTCTGTAAAAGCTTGTCAGATTTAAAGTCTTTCAAACGTCTGAAGCAATAGCCATCCAGATGAAGAAACCTGAGCTTTACTTACAAAAGAAATATCTTCGCATTCATCCCACCTTATCATGTTTTACTAATATTTTTTTACACAATATGGTCTTCCATTAAACATTTGATCGAATTGTAATTGCATTATTATATCTCTCACTCTTTCTAACCCATATTTATTCGGATCATGCATCTTAAATTTCACTTAACATATACGCAGATTCAAGTTAACATTCTATCTGAGTCATATCAACATTAACAACTTTACTCTAGTTTGTTTGACAATGCTAAATTCACTTGCTTTAATTGAGACCATGTACCGATTGATGTTAGAACACCACTGAAAACCTGGAAGTGCTGAACGACCGTTTCGTCTTATTGTGGTACTCCTCAACAGTGCACTTTAAACGATGCATTTTACCCTTAACCTGACCATTTTTTTATTGTTAATTTGGATATATATGAATTGTAGAAACTGAAGAGAATTTTTCGAAAAGAATATCTTCTGTTCAAAAATTAGTCTTTATGTGCTATCAATAAGTACTGAAGAGGATCATTTTAGGTTGATCAGGAAAAAATTGTAAATATTTGATAAAAGAAATAAAATTTTGGTAGAGAATTTGTTTACTTAGGTATCATGGTAACTTGATTCTCTGAAATATTCTATTAGTTAGAAAAAAATAACAATACTACTATTGATTGTAAATAGTATAAACTGGTTAAATCCAGTTGGTTGTAAGCCATACCATTAAGTTTATGAATAAAACATAAGGTTTATCCTTCCAACATTCTATGGGATAATAAGATTCCATTAAAACTAAAGGTTAACTAATGTAGTTTAAAATTATTAGCTACTATTTTAATGAACAAAAAGATAATATATATTGATAGAAAGCACCTAACGAATTACTGAAAACTACAGTCTGTTGATGAACTACTTGGTACTAAATTAGGCGTATTCATTTATGCATATCATCAGCTTCAAATGAGACTTTTAGACTGTTTTCCTAGGATAATCTGATGCGATATCTATTAGTAGTTAAAAAATAGAATTCGATCAGCACTAGGAAAGACCTGACAAACATGATTTTGGTCACTAAGCATTGATCAATCAGTTGTCTAATAGGAGGTCCGTTGCCACGCGGATAGCTAAATCATAACATTTCTAAGTGTGTAGCTGGATGACATTGGGTTTAACTCACTGGATAGCACCAGTTTCTTGAAGATTACAGGTATACCTTGCTGGCAAGCGTCTTATAACACAAAATTGAACCCCAGAGTTTGTAGTTGACTACCCTCAACCACTGGGCATCTCGTTGTAATCCATAAGATATTGAATCATTCAAACTTGATTGATGTGGTTTGACCAGTAGTAACAAGTTTAATGAATATATCATCTATCACTGCTCTGTGCTTAACCAATTTTAGTTGACAGATGAAATTTACCGATTTCAAAAAGAAGATAAGACAAATTATTTGTACCTTCTGCATATATGAAGTCTCACAATTGATTGATCACTGAGTGGTGATCAATGTCATGTGCGTCAAGTCCTTATTTAATGCAGATCGAATGCTATCGACCATGTTGCAATGTGGCCACCAGTCTAGGTGACTCGACACTGCGGGCACTATATATTGAGATTTAGATTGTGGTTAGAGGTAGTCAACAGGAAACCCTGGATCCGGGTTTCGTGCTACTTGGCACTCGTCAGCAAGGTATACCTGTAATCCTGAGGGAACTGGTGCTCCCTGGCCACGTTACAACATGATCGATACCATTCGATCTGCACTAATAAGGACTAGACACGCATGACATTGATCACCACTTAATGATCAGTCAATTGTGATTACATCTCAGTCCTACAGGAGGTCGGTCGCGGATCAGATAGCTCAGCGGTAATGTCTCTGACTGTGAAGCTGGGTGACAAGGGATCGAATCCGCCAATGAGCACCAGTTCCCTCAAGATTACAGGTACACAATGCTGACGAGTGCCAAGTAGCACGAAACCCGGGTTCAGGGTTTGCTGTCGACTACCTCCAACCACCATCTAAATATATGAAGTTTGTTCTTTTAGTCAAATTTAGATGCATTTCAGAAATCTAAATTATTTGAGTCAAAATAGAAAATCTTATTGATTCATAAAATAGGAGGAAAATGTTTATGTTTATATTTTTGTTTCAAAATCGAATTAACTACATTGTTGTATTTCAATGAATTGACTTGATTTTTCTGTTTTTGTAAATATTTACTTTAACCCAATCATTATATCCATTTTTTCTTAAATATACGATTACGATACTGTCCAGAAACACAACAAGAACTTCACGAATAAACCGACTAGCTCAGAAAACAAATATATGTTGTCAAAAACTTCATCCTCAACTGAAAAATATTCTATATTATCTCACGTTTGTTTGAGTCAAGAATAATCAATATTTCTATACTTTTGAAGGTCATAATCTATAAAAACGTTAAGGGGAATTTATTTTCAAACAGCTGTCATCCTGAAAACGAAATACTCATCTACATGTATTTGCATCCAACAGTTAATGTTCACTTTGCGACTCCAACTCAGTACCGTTTGTTTCAAACACCATTGAGTTATCTACTTAGTTACTGAGTCCCGATAGCCACCTGCCTGTACAATTGGGTGAAGTTTAAATTCACTTGGTATTCTTTACTTGAATCTTCCTATTGATGTTTAGGAATCCAATTGATCAATCTCTCATTAGCATATGCGCATACTGTGTATATTGCATCGATATTGCCTTAATTCACAAGCATTATAAGCAGAGACAGATGGTGGCTAGCAGTGGAATCCAGGACGTACACAAAATGCGAATATGCGAATAAGAAACTTATCAATTGCATTCTTAAATATCAACTGAAAAATTCAAACAGATAATACAAAAATGAATTGAATGTATACGATTCGTTTAAGATTGCAATTGATCAGTATCTTATTGGCAAATGTACATTCACCTGATGAGTTCCAAATCGACGAAGTAAACGTCCTGGATCCCACTGCTAGCCACCATCTGTCTCTGCTTATAATGCTCGTGAATTAAGGTAATATCGGTGCAATATACACAGTATGCACATATGCTAATAAGAGATTGATCAATTGGATTCCTAAACATCAACAGGAAGATTCAAGTAAACAATACCATGTGAACTTAATTTTATACATTAGCTAAAGACTGTGTAAATCAATTTATTTCACTTTATTACATTCATTATCATTAATTATCAAAATGCTCGGTAGAACTTAAAGTAAATATAAGTTATAATACTTTCTTGTTATTTACCTTTGAAGAGAATCCAATTAACTTAATAACGTATTATAGACAGTGTTTCTTATTCATATTTTACTCAAACCATAATTATCTCCATATTCATCACTGACTGAAAATTCTTATAGCTTATTCAAAGGAAAATCACTTTTTATGGATAAACTGTAAAATTGTTAATACTGTAGAAAAGAGATTACTATCTTAATTACATTAATTTTCTTTACAAATGAAATAATCGGACGAAACGACCGTCCAGAGCTTTCAGATTATCTATAATAGTCCAAATTCAACTGACTAATAATCTGTTCTGTCCCGATAAGCATAATGAATGGTAACTTTTGAGATCCATTTATAGATCAATACTATACGTACATTCTTATCGTATAGTTTTTAAATAATTAGAATATTCATGATCATGTCCTTTTTATCATGAGCTTTATTTTGACCTATGAACTATTATTATACGATTTACCATTCTCGAATTATGCCCTGTCTATTAATCGTTACCTCCCACATTCACAGCCACATTTAGCCAAATCTTATACAAATGTTGTTTCATATTTTATGGTACGATGTGGTCTGTTTGATAGGTATATAAACTCCGTGTGTTTGTAATAAATGATCCATATCTCATAGGCTGAAATTGGGGTTCTGGACTTAACAGGCTGGACTCAGCAGAAAGCAGGACCAATAAGGACTCTAGACTGCTCGCATGGGTTTTATGCGTCACTGGTCCGATTGATAATTCACTGCTCTCCAATTGGCGGTATCGTTGCGTTATACATTAACAGGGCACACAGGCTACTAGTTATAACATAATCTTAACTAGTGAAATAATAAATGATAGTAGAGATTATATTTACCTTTATAAGTTTTATAATTCCATTCATCATCACTTAATCCAAGCCAGTTATTAATTGTTTCACTAGGCATTTTATTATATTGTTGTTTATTAACTTCATCAACTGACTGATTATGTATATGTCTCAATGATTTTTGATAATAAATATCTGCAGGATTTTGTATTTTATCTTCATTCATTATTGATTGATTTGTTTGATGAACTGATGATGGTAACGATGATAATAATTGATTATTAAAAGGTATACTACTAGTAGTAGTATTGATAGGGTTATTATTTATAACAGTATCGTTTATTGAAGTTGTTGTTGAATTCATCATATCACATTGGTTTTGTTCATTTAATAATTTGCGTACTTGTTCAATCAGTATATCTATTGATTCAGGATTTATAGTGTCTACACAAGAATTCCCATCAGGCAATAAAGTGTTCATTCTTGGAATGTTATTATTACTGTTAATATCATTAACAATATGACTATTTGGTAAATAAGTAGAATTTATAGATGAAACATTATTTATAAGGTCAGTATTATTGTTAGTTGAAATGAAATTTCCAGTATTTGGATAATTATTCATCATTTGATCTGATGCAATTGTATTTTGTAGTAGACTATTGATAATGTGTTCATTAGTCGGTTGACATGTAATGACATTATTAATATTATCAGTAGTAGTATTATTATCTAACATCCCAGAACCAGCTACAGCTGTGGCTGCAATTGCTCCAGCAACAGCTGCTAAAGTTACTTGATTCAAATCAGCTGGCGCGAGATCTAGGCACATTGAATTTATTTGATTAATAAGTTCTGGATTATATGTAAGAGCTTGTATAAAATCAGGATTATTGATAAGCTCGATTAATGTGTTATTTGAAACTGGTATTTGTTCATTTAAACTGACTGATGTAGGCTGATTTATGATTGTATTATTCATTATATTGTTAGCTAAATTATTTGTTAAAGGTACTTGATTTGGCAATACTACTGGAGCGGTAGAATTCAAATTCGATGTAGTTAACATATTTGGTACGGACAGAAACTGTTGGTCAGTTGTAGATGTATAGTTTGTAGGTTCTACCATTGTTTCATCGATTTTACCTTGTTCAATACTTAACGGAAGTCTTGTTGAAGCTGTAGAAAATATTGGTGGTGCTAAAGTAGATGAAATAAGAGTTGTTGGTCTCATTTCTGATTCATCACAATATGAGTTTAAGTATCCTTGAAGATCAAAATTTGAAAAACTAGATGGCCAACTAGATTCATAAGGTTCATCAGTCATTAAACTTTTAAGTAAACGACGATGATGTTGTTCTACTTGTTGTCTTAGTTGTCGAGTTGTAAAGTCATTTGAATCAGTTCGACGATCAAGTGAACCAAATTTGTTACTGTCCAATTTTTGTAACTCATATGAGTCCGATATATTTTCTTGATAGTCTAAATTAAATTCTGAATGTGCAGCAGCTAATCGAGCTCTTAAAGTTTGCATAGAAGTAGAACCTGAAAATTTGTTTAAATCATCTAAATGACTTAAATGACCAGTTGATTTGGATAGATTACCTATTCTTCGAGTTAAATGATCAGATTTATTCCATTCATCAAATGGGACTTTTTGTTGTAGTAAAAATTCTATACTAGATGGATCATAACGTTGATTAGTCAATGTAGGTCGTGAATGTTTTATTCCTTTTCTACCATAATCATTTAAAGGTAAAGAAAAATATGAACCAACTTCTAAAAAACTATTATCATTTGACCATTTTGTTTGTGGAGTATGAAATGATTTATAAGTTGGTGTATAACTTCTTAAATTCCCTCTTTTTATTCTATGACTTATTTCATAATCTTGATAATTTTTATTAAATCGTGTTGAATATACGGAATCTTTTGATTTATCCATTTCTGTTGATTTTATATTTCTATTAGAATCTTTCAACATTCTTTGTTGTAAAACACTTTCAACATCATCTGATTTGAAGTGTTTTGAACGACTTGAAGTATGATGAATTAATCCTAACTTATTTCGACGATCATGACGAATAATTGATGCTAGACCAGTTTTATCTTTTTCACGAAGATGATGATGATGATGAGGAGGATGATAATGATGCGATGTACCAGCCTCTGAATATGATCTATATGGTCGTGAATCATATGAAGATTTCAAATTACTTTTTGTAATTGGTTTTAAATTTATTCGATAATTATCATCATCATTGAATGATTTAATAAATCTATCCGGATAAACATCATGTAATGATCTATGATTATATGAATGTCTTGAATAAATAATTGATGATGATGAATTAGGACTTTCATAAGTTCCAGGTAAATCATCTACTAAACTATTTACTTCATAACTATAAGCAGAAGAATGTGGTCTTCTTCTTTGATTTGTAAAATATGAACCACGTGAACTAGACGATGATGACATATATTCCGTATGTAAATTATCGTAATAGATTGTTTGCTCTGGTATTGATATTAATTTAGCTTCGTCAGTAATACGTTTTAATATATGTATATACCATTGTGAATGAATAGATTCCCATAAATGTTTATTAGCATAAAATTCTTTAAAATTAGATATTAATGATAATTTCGATTCATTAAATGTATTTTCATTAAGAATTGAATTTGTAATAGGTACATGAATGGAAAACTCACTACCATCTGATAAAGTATCATAATTATCCTCGAATAGCTGATTACTTAATGATTGTGGACAAGATAATGATAGAAAATAATTTTTTATTGATGATTTACAGAAACTTGTTTGATGTGATCTCTTATATTGATTATTATTATTATTATTATTATTGTCTTCAGTTAAAGCTAATAATGTATCAGTTGGATCGGGTTCATTAGTAATTGGTGAATTCGATAAAATTAATTGTGCACGTTTTAATAATTTTTCATTAAAACAACAAAATGGTTTTGTTAATGATAATGAATTATTAATAGATTGTTGTTTGATTCCAATACAAGTTGGTGTATTAGTATTAGTAGTAGTAGTATAGTAGTATTATTGAATAACTTTTGAGTAGTATCAGAAAATGTTATTAAATTATTATTATTATTATTATTATTAAATGATTTTTCTATTGATTTTTCTATTGGATTATTTATTATTGATAATTGATCAGTTTTATAATGTTCAATGATTGTTTTATTTTGATCATTTTCTGATTCAATATTCAATGTATTATTCAATATCAATGATGAATTCTTAGAATTGTTAGATTGATCAATAGAATAATTTAAAGAATCATTATTCTCATTGAAAAAATTGGTTAGAAAATTTTTATTTGACTTTCTATTCGATTTTTTCAATCCATCTTTATGATTATTGGTTAATTCTAAATGACTGCCTTCCTTATTCAAATGAATCAATGGATAATATTGTTTATTGTTCATATATGTATAAGTTGAATTAGATTGAGTTAGTTGTTGTTCATATGGATAATAAGGATAGAGAATTTCATTTATAATACTATTCTTCTCATCTATATTATTTGGACTTTTAATAGAGGCAGAATATGAATTATCCAATGATAGAGGAGAATTTATTGTTGGGATCACGTGTTCATAGAATTCCAATATGTCTGAATGATATAAGTCTTCTTTTGTATTCTTAAATGTTTCTTCTTTTTGTTTAGAAATGTCTATTCGTTTATCAATAGGTAGTGATGTATATGGAAATTGATTATTTTTACATTTCAATTTCATATTTTGATCAGAGATCATGTTATGATTACTTTCATTTGATTTATAAGTAGTAGTAGTAGTAAGAGTTGGAGTATCTGAATATACGAAATGATCGGTTTCTTCATCAGTTCTAATATTATTTTCATATACTTTTCCATAATTATAAGGTTGAGACATAAGATTTTCTTCAGCAACGATTTGAGTTTCTAATTGAGTAGAGATTCTTTCAAGATCATGCAATTCTGTATCATCTTTAATATGTGTTATATACAGTTTTGTAGTGAAATGGTCTGATGAAGTATTATCGTGTTTTTCATTATCTTCAGTTATCTGTACGATATAAAACAATAGTGTGAGATATAGTATTGTACAATTGTCAATAAAAATAGTTCATAATTTTGAATTAGTTTAACAGCTCCCATGAAGAACTAGTACAATATCTTACTTGTTTTCCTCATCAGATATGAATAGATTGTATGGCTTTATTCTAATGTGTTTATCTCGTGAAATGAAAAAAAATCATTAATATGGAATAATCTATTATGGTGGAGTTTTGTTGTCTGAGTTGGATGGTTTGGTCGTGGAGCTTTCATCATCCTTCGGAACGACATCATCAGTACAAACTTCAGATGGAATAATCTAATGACATTGAACTATAATATATTTACGATTATTCTCTTTAGAACGTGTTTATCTAGTTCATTCAAAGTAGTAAGAGATTGAAAACTTTCCAAAGAAGAAGGAGAATGAAATTACCGTAATGGTTAGAATAAGACATATTACTTATTAATAAAGTTATGCAGTGCTATGGTAAAGTATAAAAAACGTATGGACATTTTCATTCTAGTAGTTGAATGCTAAGAATAAATAACTGATGGGATTGATTGATTTCAATAGAAACAAGCGTTTACGAGGTTTAGATATACATTATTGACATAAACTATTTGCTTGGAAGCAATTGATATGAAACATCACATATAGGTTTCATCCTAGTTGGTACTCTTCATCAAGGCGTACCTGTATTATTAGGGAGATTGATGTGTCCACTGCTGAATAGTGCCATCGAGCAAGAAATCTAGGCCTAGGGTTTGTTACCGGTTTCATCTAATCAATTAATACCTCAATAAAGTACATACTATCTCAAGTCATTTAGATTAATGTTCATATTGGTAGTTGTTCAGTAAAATTCGGTCAGCACAATAGATCTAGATAAACATAACATTGGTAACTACTAATTGAACACTCAACCACTATTATTTACTTATCTAAACATATTTCATGATTTATCATTGTATATCTATTTGTTATAAATTACCCTATTTCCCTCTGATTCACCTCAACAGTTACCCATTACCTGTGTTAAACTGAGAAAAGCAAAGACAAGAAATAGAATACTTTCATGTTAACTTTCCTATATGTGAATATACTAAGATAAATATATCTTGGTTTTCAGTCATAAAAACTACTGATAATCGAGAAATTTTCTATTCAATCTACACCACGTTTAATAGTAAGAAAAGTGACCGAAACACTTTGGATAGTTCAAACGTATATTTTCCAACATTTGTCATTCATCTTCAAGCTGTACATCTAATTCCGTTGGAAAACTCATACTGCATCTGACTTTTTTATCACTACAACTCAATTCCTTAGCCATTAAAATTATTACTGAACTAAGATGGAAAAATGCTTTTATTATGCAAAAACAAAATTATACATCAGTTCCCGAATAATACTAACAAATCAGTTTCTATTTACATTATCTTGATCAATTTACCACTCGGATTCAAAAAGAATTTTTAACAAAAATGAGAGAAAGTTATGAGAAACGAAAAATAAATTATCAGTATAGGGTTGTGTAGATTATTAATTTTTTTGATTGAAATCATGAACCGATTGTTGTTAGACTTCCATTGAAAACCTGGAAACACTGGACAGCTAATTCGTCATATTGTAAGACTCCTCGGCAGTGCGCATCTACGATCTCATTTGCGCGCAAGACTGAAGACCCTAGATCGGAATCCCTCGAGCAGGATCGTAGATGCGCACTGTTGAGAAGTCACACAACAGGATGAAATAGATTTCCAGTGTTTCTAATTTTTCAATGCTGGTCTAGCGTAGATCGACTCATGAATGCAACTTTCAAAATACTACAATCTCTACAAATTCTTGTACTGATCATACAAATATATCTATTTTCTGCATGATTTGCTTTTTTTCCTTTTTTTTCCAGAATATCTCTTTTCTTTTTTTCTACTTGTCTATGTGTCATAATTTGCTTTTAAGGTTAACAATTTTCTAAGATGATGTGCAAATAATAAACAGATTTTTTTGACAAACTGACCTACTACTACTTAGTTGAATAATAATAAGTAGAAAAATTTGTTTTTGATAAATAAGTATTATATTAAATTTCTGTTATTAAGTATTAAATTCTATTGAACATAAGTGTCAACAAAGTTTATTATAACACTATTGGATTAGAATACTATTTGTTATAAATCTCTGGAGTTTTCATCAATGAATGAGAGAAAAAAAGCACTTAAACTTGATCTTATGATATATTCTACAAAGTCAAATGATACAGATGAGTGAAATGAAGAAAATGATAGTGTGGGCATAATCCAGACAGACCATATACGGTCTCAAAGCTATATGATATGTCAGTGATACACATATGAACTGTGTTCAGAAAACCTAGTAGAAGTGCTTCACTCCAACCTTCCTATTTACTTGATATATCAGGGGCATTTACACCAATACATCACTGGAAACCTATGACTGAAAAAGAGTAAAGCATTCACAAGTGCAATCGCCAGACACCTTCTGGATAATGAACGTAAAGTGAATATAAATAACGTATTCAAAGCAATTAACAGACAAAGAAAACAATCTTACTCTGTTTTCTAGACACAATCACTGTCAAATGTTTCCGATCTGACCTATGTATACAGATGAAAAGTGTAATTAACTTTTCTATTCCATGATAATTAGATGTTCATCTTATAACCTTTATTAATTCTAACTTTCAATCTTTATATTTCAACCCTGTGTCCAATCTTTTCTCTTTGTTTTTATTTTGTCTGCTGATATTCATCTTTTACACATTTTCTTTATATTCAGTTATTTATTTTATCATGTTGAGCGATTACCCAATCACGTAGGAACTTCATTATGCTTACATAACCTCTTTTATCTAAATTAGGATCACTGTTAACAATAACATTGTTCCACTCAGTGTTACTGCCTTCCAACATATAAAATAATTAAGATCATGAGTCGATTAAAGCTAGACACCCATGAAAAACGTGGAAGCACTGGACGGCCGTTTCATCCTATACTGGGATTCCTCAGTATCGCTGGACGCCGGCCGGGTTAGTGGTCTTGCGGTCAAGTGCTCGCGTGCGAGACCAGTAATTCCTGGGTTCGGAGCCCGCGAGTAGGATCGTGGGTGCGCACTGCTGAGGAGTCCCACAGCAAGACGAAACGGCCGTTTAGTACTTCCAGGTTTCCCATGGTGGTCTAGCTTCAATTGACTCATGATTTCAACTATGTAAATTACTAAAATCTCCACAAAACCCCTTCTGATATAAAATAAACTTAAAGCAATTAGTACCTTTGATAAATTTGAATAATGGAATAAGAAGACAACAGTTATCAGAACTATGTGATATTTTAACGTAATACATTTCGAGGAGTCTTATCACACATAATATGCTTGTTAAGAACATTTATGTATAGGATAAAATGGTGTATATCAGATTGTTCAAAATGTATTACGTTCATATATCACATAGGTTTGATAATCATCTTTTTATTACACTATGCTAATATAAATACGCATTGATCTTAACTATGAAAGTACATCCAGTTGACGAGTCTCAAATAGGACAAAACGCGAGTCCTGGATTCCACTGCTAGCCACCATCCATTTTCACTTATAAAGATTCTAACTATGTTTATTCTTACACTTTTTATTTTTATTCTTTGTATTACAATGATTTCATTTATAGCAACTTACGTGCTATTGAGTTTGTTGACATTTAATATGGTCAAACCCTTTTGTTAACTTATTTAACGGACAGAGTTATTCGTACAATAACAACTTATCTTAGATCATTGTACCTTTATTATTGTTGCACTTGTATGAATATGTATGCTTAAGCATTACTTACTGCTTACACATACATCCATTCTGCTAGGTTTACTGTTAACTGCTTAACTGATTCGATGATTCATTCATGAATATACATATTTAATCCCATTCACTCTCGGTTCTCTAACTCAATCATTTGCCTCTTTGCTTTGTGGTCTGAGTTATCTGCTAATAAAACTGTAGTCTCTGTTTCTCTTTGTCTTCTGATTTTAAATACCGCTGAGTTTTATATAATAACAGTTACCAGGGTAGATTGACTAACGAAGCACAGACAGTACATATTTATATTTTGGACATTGATCTAAACTTCATAAACTAAAGTACATTATATATCTGTTAACAACGAAAATATTTAGGTTTTATGTATCTGATATGAAATCGTGAAATAGGATGATGAAATTATTTTATTCTACAAACCCAGATCATTCTTGGGTTTGTTTTAAATTTATCAAGGGATCTGGTTGTATGAAAAATTTGATTTATTTTCAAAAGAAAAAACACACATAATAACCAATTCATTTCAACATTTCCTGATCACAAAAAAAAAAACAGGAAATAATGATTGAATAGAATTGAGAAAAACCAATATTAGACAAACGCCTAATATTGAATATAAATTACAAATGTGATTTCATCTTTTTATCCTATTCTAATGAATATTCATTAGGAAAATTTGGCGAGACTAATTTATGAACGAGCCAGTCAGAAGCCTCTTTGAGATCTCAAGGTTACGGCATCAACTTCAGTGCTGAATACTAACGTATGATCGGTTCACAAGGAATTTTTTACAAAACGTGATAATTGAGCGGCTATAACAAATAAAACGGCAAGACTATAATTTGTGGACGAATCAATCAGGTATGAGATAATAGATCTCGGATTTTAACTTGAAACCATTTCGTCCATCTGGTTAGATTAATTTCTGGCATTATAGCTAATGTCAGTTCATGATGAAAATCCCATATATAATTCCTAACTAAGGCAAATTACTACAATTATTGCGAACTGGATAATAAAAGCACCAGTAACACTGGCTGCAGCCAGGTACTACAATATATACGGATGTTTGGAGAGCGTACAGACTCCTAAATAGGCTTGGTTATGTGCATCGTGTCGTTATCCGCAAGTAGCATTTTGTGCACTCAAAAACCGGAGTGCACGTAAACCATATTGA